TACTGGAATACATGTTACTGAAAATATCTTAAGAATGCTGGTGTGGCCGGGCGCGGTGGCTCAAGCCTGTAATCCCAGCACTTTGGGAGGCCGAGAGGGGCGGATCATGAGGTCAGGAGATCGAGACCATCCTGGCGAACACGGTGAAACCCCGTCTCTACTAAAAAAATACAAAAAACTAGCCGGGCGAGGTGGCGGGCGCCTGTAGTCCCAGCTACACAGGAGGCTGAGGCAGGAGAATGGCGTAAACCCGGGAGGCGGAGCTTGCAGTGAGCTGAGATCCGGCCACTGCGCTCCAGCCCCGGCGACAGAGCGAGACTCCGTCTCAAAAAAAAAGAATGCTGGTGTGGATTTGGATAAAGGGGAAATCTTATACACTATTGCTGTAAATATAAATTAGGATATACACTATGGAAAAAAGTTGTAGGCCAAGCGCGGTGGCCCACGCCTGTAATCCCAGCACTTTGGGAGGCTGAGGCAGGCAGACCACCAGGTCAGGAGATCAAGACCATCCTCGTTAACACAGTGAAACCCCGTCTCTACTAAAAATACAAAAAATTAGCCAAGCGTGGTGGCATGCACCCGTAGTCCCAGCTACCAGGAGGCTGAGGCAGGAAAATCGCTTCAACCCAGGAGGCAGCCTTTGCAGTGAGATGAGATCGCGTCACAGTACTCCAGCCTGGATGACAGAGTGAGACTGTCTCAAAAAAAAAAAAAGAAAAGAAAAGAAAAGAAAAAAAGTGGTAGATTCCTCAAAAAACTGAAAATGCAACTACCGTATGACCCAGCAATCCCACTACTGGGTACACCTTCAAAGCAAATGAAAACAGTATCAGAGATCACAAAGCCTCAATGGGGATAGGAGATTTTTTCATTAAATGGTTTCAAGAAAACTGATGTTTCTATGAAAAAGAAGGAAATAGGGCCCTTCTGGTATACAATACACAAAAATCAACTCAAAATGGACTGAAGACCTGAACACAAGACCTGAAATTATACATTAACATCAAACGTCTGTAAGAAAAAAGGGGGTGGGGGACCTGGTGGAGCACTCAGTTTTGGGGCAACCTGCATCTAGGCTCACAGTTTGGAAACGGGAAAAGAAAAAACGGGAAAAAAAAAGCAGAGGGGTAAAACCTCGTCAAGAATGGAATGGCTTGTGAATATATTTATTTTTTAAATTGGGAAAGCGAATCACAGGTAACAAAAGCAAAAACCACCATGTGGGGCTACATCCAACTGGAAAGCTTCTGTACAGAAAGAAAACAGTGAACCAAATGAAAACCTATCCTACAAATGGGGAGAAAGTTTGGGGGAAGCATGTATCTCCTAAGGGACTGTTACAAAAATACGCAATGCCTTCACAGTGCCCAACAGCAATAACAACAAGATCATCAACCCCAAACTGGGCAGGGACCCAGCACAGACATTTCTGCACAGGAGACATAACACTGAGCAGCATGGACAGAACCAGGTCCTCAGCATCACCGTCATCATGGGCAAGTCCCCGTCAGGCTCGCACCCGGGTGTCCGTTCTCCCGGTCAGGTGGTCGTGTCCGGATGGACAGGAGGGGACACAGGCTTCTTTGGGGGCGGGGGATTGGTGATGTGCCCCGATGGCGGGAAGGCAAATTTAAAAATTCATCAAATCCTGGAGGCCGCTGGGATCTTTTTTCCTCCGTCTGAGGCCTGGCCAGGAGGCAGCCAAACACCCAGGCCTGGTCCCAACTCCCACCTGGGCCGGGCTTCCCCTTCCTCCTGGGGCTTTCCTCTCTCCCCATCTATATGGGACAGGTTCCCTCAGAAAAAGTCCTCAAACCCCAAAAATACCACAGTCCGCTACACTTGCCACCCTCAAAAGTCCTCAGGGAACAAAATTAATGGTAAAATAAATACTAAAATACTATGAGAGAAAGAGGAAAACTAGTGAGAAGGTGAGCATAAAGAGAAAGTTCCAGGAAACAAGCTTCTGTAGTCACCGTGTAGAAAAAAGTGTCCTGGAAACGCTGAGCGCACACAGCTCCCACCTAAGCAGTCAGGGCCACAGACAGCAGCAGTTTCCTCCCCAAGACGAGTCTCCAAGTCATCCCCACGCCGCCGCAGTGCGCCCTCAAGCGGGTCCGGAAGGAACGGGAGCCATTCTCCATCATTCCATTATGGACGCCACGCCACGCACGCCACGAAGCCTCTGCGGTGAGAACACGCATGCGCATCATGTGGCGCAGAAAAGGCAGTTTCAGCGCCCCCTGCCAGTCACAGTGCACAGTGCAGGATGATCCACCTCATGGTCCGCATCAGCCTAGTCTGTTTAGCAAGGGTAAGGGCGTGTTGTTCGACACCAGGGAGCAGGAACTCCCCAATCTATGTATGTGGACCTCCCCCCGTGAAGTTCTTATTTTCTTTTTGTTTGGGCAGGGTCTCACTCTGTGGCCCAGGATGAAGTGCACTGGTGCAATCACGGTTCACTGCAACCTCAACCTCCTGGGTGGGAGGTTGTAAGGTGGGAGGGCAGGCAGGGCTGGGGCTGCTGAGAGGCTGGGAGGAGGGGGCTGTCAGGGAGGGAAAGGGGGATGGGGCCGGCAGAGAGGGCACTTAGTCCCATCACCGTCGCCTTAACAGGGCCGGTCAGAGAATGGCTGTGGGGCTCAGTGCAGGAAGCAAATATGGAGCCCTTTGTTCAAAAATGATTAAGGATTTTTTTTTTTCTTCTTTTAGACGGAGTCTCACTCTGTCTCCCAGGCTGGAGTGCAGTGGCGTGATCTCAGCTCACTGCAAGCTCCATCTCCTGGGTTCAATGGATTCTCCTGCCTCAGCCTCCTGAGTAGCTGAGACCACAGGCAAATGCCACCACACCCAGCTAATTTTTGTATTTTTAGTAGAGACGGAGTTTCACCATGTTGGCCAGGTTGGTCTCGAACTCCTGACCTCAAGTGATCCACCCACCTTGGCCTCCCAAAATGCTGGGATTACAGGCGTGAGCCACCATGCCTGACCAAAAATGATTGAGGATTTTAAGGCAGCCCCCACAGAGCATTAAACAAGTCCCTAGAGCTGGCCCCGTCCCTGAAGGCTCCAGGCCCATCTGTCTTGGGAATGCACAGATTCCAGGGGCCCAAACCCACCCTTCACCACTCTCTTCCCCTACCAGCACCACAGGGGCCCTCCTGGCCCCTGGGACCTCCCAAGGAGCAGGCTCTCTGTCCAGGATGGAGATGGGGACCCTCCTCACTGCCCTGTGCCCCTCATGGGCTGGACACGCCCACCACCCAGGAAGGAAGGCATAAAGGGCTGGGCACCGCCCTTGTGGAACCAGAGGCTTGGCGGCCCTAGATGGTTCTGGCTGAACCCGCCTTCGGAGGGCTGAGATGAGCCGGCCGGCCGCAGTTACTCAGCTGACGCCCCCTCCCTGCAGGGCCTGGGGTAAGGAGCTTCCCAGACTGCCCACCTAGCCCCCACCGCACTTCCATCGTCTCCAGACATGTGCAGCAAGGGAAGAAACAGGAAGCAGGAGCTCTCCCAGCCGACCCCCTAGCACCCTTCCCCGGAGCCTCACCTACAGGAGGACGGACACCTCAGACCCTCCCCTGCACCCAGTGCTGTAGGGAGAAACCTCAGGCCTGGGCCTGGGATGAGTGCCCTCGCCAGCCTGGGATCAGGAGACAGGCTCTCCCTGGCTCAGCACCTGAGTGTCCACTCACAGGACACTCACCTGCAGAGGTGCCCTGAGCGCCATTGTGGGTTAAGGGAATTTCTCCCCTCTGGAAACAGTCCCTGAGAAGCTGAAGGTCTTGAGGGCCTCTCACCAAATGTCTTTGGGAGGTGGGAAGACATCAAATGTGGGTGTGGCTTCCCTGGAACAGCTGTGTGTGGGGACTCAGGAGCCAAGTCCCCCAGCGCACGCCTCTAACACCTTCAGTAAGGGCCACCCCTCTGGAGCCACAGGTGGCTGCCAACACCCTGTGGTTCCCAGCAGGCACCACCCAGGCAAGAGAGAGAACAGGCCGGGGAACAATGGACTGGCCTGGCCCCAAGTGCTGGGCAGATCAGAGACCAGATGGCCTAAGCTCATGCCCTGGGGCCAGCTCTGACTCCCTGCAAGTGTGGCAAGAGTCCCTTTTGGACACCTTGAGAAGCTGCAGCTGGGAGAGGACCACCCACCTGTCTGGACATCCAGCCCAGATGGCAGGGCCCAAGTGACCAATCCCAGGCCACAGCCCTTACCGCCCACCCTGGCTGCAAGGGCTCCCAGAAGCCACCATGGGCCTGGCTTGGCCTTGCCTGTCCACATCTGAGCTTCAGTTTCCTCATCTGCTCAAGAAGGGGAGCAGATTGATTAGACTATGCAAACTCTGAGTGGCAGGATTAGGTGTGACTGGGAGAGTCAAGGCTCCCCAGTGTGGTGGCATCTCTGGAGCCCGGGGATGGACCCTGTCTCCCTTCTGGGCCCCCAGCTGGGTTTGAGTACCTCCTCTCCCCTCCCTCCTTCCTCCCTCCGGAGGGGTCCCCTGCAGAGCTGCCTCAGCCCCAGGGCTCAGCCTGTGTCTGACCCAAACAGCTCCCGCATCCCCGGGAGGATGAGTTGGGAGCACCTCCTTCCTGCAGGAAGATGAGGGCTAGAGATGGAGGTCAATGTCAGGGCCACAGAGGCTAGACTCCTGCCTGGAGCTTAAACAGCCCTGCCTTACCCACCCTGTGCATCCCGTCCTCTGCTGCAGCCCCGCCTGGCACGCCCTGCATGCAGGGTGGGGGTGGGACCCAGGGTCTGAGCTTTGGCTTCTGGACATACAGCTTATCGCTTGCCAAATGTCCTGCAGCTGGAGGCTCCAGCCTCCTCACCCTCCCACAGGGTTCCAGGGCCAAGGTCCGGCCCCCTGCTCTGTCCCAGGCCTGCTGGCCAGGAATGTGCTAATGGGGCAGGTTGGGCCCTGCTTGTCCATGCAAGCACTTGTGGACTTTGAAAGGGGACTAGGTGGGGAAGGGCAGGGCAGGGCAGGGTGGGGCAGTGCACAGAGTGCAGGGCAAGTGGGGCCAGGCTGGCGGGGAGTGAGCCTGTCTGGCTACCTTGCCTCGGAGCCACTACACTGCTCGCTGCAGACACAGACTGCACCATGAAGCCAGCCCTCCTGCCCTGGGCCCTGCTGCTGCTGGCGACAGCCCCCGACCTGGGCCTGGACCCGCAGCAGGTATGCTTCCCTGCCCTTCTGTGCCCCCATCTGTCTGTCCATCTGGCTGCAGCCAGGCCTGGGCAGATGCCCCTCTGGGCTCAGCCTCTGTCCACCTGTCAGGCCATCTGTGGCTGTGCTAGGGGTGGTGGGAAGAAATTCTGAGGGTCCATGTCGTGGGGCAGTCCATGGGGATGGGAGATCTGAGCCAGACCCATCCTAAACCCGCTGGGAGCTAGGAGGGAGGCGGGGGAGACCAGCAGAGGCCTCAGCCTGCGTCCCCAGTCCTGACAGGGCGGGATCGCGGAGGGGGAGCCAGGATTGTGGGTCCTCATCAGGGTGGGGCTGAATCCGGGAAAGTCTAGGGGAAGCCCCGAACTCTGGAACCAGGACACTGGCCACAGGCCACCCCCCACCCCACTTCCCATTCACCCTCCTGCCACTTATCTCACTTGCAAGCATCTCTCGGCCTCCTTCCCCGACCCCTGTGCGCCACCACATCCTTGGCCAGTACATATTTATTGTTGCTCTTAGGTGTCAGGCACTGCATTTAGTGGAGTGGGGCCAGCGGGGTGGCTCAGGCCCAGGCCTGGCCCTCGACTGGCCTCTTTTGACAGGGGACAGGGAAGGGCCAGGGACGTACGATTCCGTCCTGGGTGCAGGTACCTGCCCCAGTCCCTCCCTGCAACCCTTCCTTCATGCCAGCCCCTGGAAATATGGCCCTGCCACAGGTCTCATGGCCCATAGGAGATGCTTTGGGCCCAGCGTCTACAGTCCCTCGTGGTGTGCACCCCCACTTCCCTTTCCTCACTGCTGGGACCCCTGCTTGAAATGTCCCTCCTCTCCCCAAAAAGGAAGGGAGCTGCCCTGGCGTTCTGCCCTGAGGGCAGGGTTCTCTTTGGGGTCTCCACTGTAGTCCCTGGGAGAGTGAGAAGGGTCAAGTTCAGACCCTGCACCATTCCCTACCAGGCCTCGAATGGGACTCTTGGCAGCCATGTCCCCCCGCCAATCCAGGCAAGCAAGAGGGGTTCTGCAGGCTTCAGGGCCCCCAGAAGGTGCGCTGTCCCCAGACACCCTGGGGAGCCAAGAGAGGTCGAGGGCTCCGGCTACCGTGGCCCTCTGAGGACTCCCACCTGTGGGATAGAGGACTTGGTGGCTGAAGGACAGTCATGCCCAGGGGGCTTCTCCTGACCCTGCAGGGCTGAGCAAATGCAGCCTTTTGCCTCTTCTCACTGCAAAGGATATTTTATGGGCTACAAATAAACAGCCGCATGAAGAGATGCATAGGGTGAGATCTGGAAGGGTCCCAAGCACAAGAGCTTCTATCCCCATGGAGTTTCCTCCCGGCACATGGATGAGTTCTTGTTCACCTTCCTGTCAGGCTGCGCATGATCAGCTGTCCTGAAGCTTCCCTAACCCTGTCCTCTTGGGCCTTTTATGGAGACTTCATTGGATTGACATGGTTAAAGGATGGACAACCATGTGGAAATGCCATTAGACAAAAAGGGTGTGATCTAATACGAAGAGACGGGGTGGGGAGACCCCGCAAGGCCTGTCCAGACTCTTTTTGGCCTCTCTGTGCAGCATCTGTTCCTCCAGGGTATAGGGCAGGAGCTTTCTCTGGGGTGAGCTCTTATGACCCACACTCAGATTAGGGTCTGGCCTTGGGCAGGTGAAAGGGGGGCAGGAGAAGTTTCAAGAGAGAGATTCTGTCCCCCGAGTCCTGCTTCTGAGGCCTAAAGTGCCCCAACATTATAACAAAAGACTATCACAAGGACTGTAGGAGTTATGAGCCAGGGACCATGGATGAAAGCTCAAGTTTAAGTCCGCTGTGGTCCTGTCAGCTGGCAGGTGAGCTCTCTCCCCTTCCTCTTCAGGACAACTCCAAGCTCTGTATGAGCAGAGGGATGAGGCTCCAGTTAGTAGCCATCAGAATATTTCATCTGGGCTGGGTGTGGTGGCTCACGCTTGTAATCATAGCAGTTTGGCAGGACAAGGCGGGCGGATCATGAGGTCAGGAGTTCAAGACCAGCCTGGCCAACACAGTGAAACCCCATCTCTACTAAATATATAAAAATTAGCTGGGCGTGGTGGCGGGTCTCTGTAATCCCAGCTACTTGGGAGGCTGAGGCAGGAGAATCGCTTGAACTCGGGAGGTGGAGGTTACGGTGAGCCAAGATTATGCCAGTGCACTTCAGCCCATGCAACAGAGCTAGACTCCATCTCAAAAAAAAAAAAAAAAAAAAAAGAGAAGAAGAAGAATATTTTATCTGTCCTTCAAAGCCTGTCTGCTCCTAGAACCCTGGGTTACGGAGAACAGCAGTCTTATCATGCAGCTTATACGGAGAGTGTTTTCTTCTTGCTCCTATGAAATAATAATTTTTTTTTTTTTAGATTAAGTCACCATTGCCAGGCTGGAGTGCGGTGGCTTGATCTCACTGTGACCTCCAGCTCCCAGGTTCAAGTGACTCTCTTGCCTCAGCCTCCCAAGTAACTGGGATTACAGGCGCATACCACCATGTTCAGCTGATTTTTTTGTTTTCAGTAGACACAGGCTTTTGCTATGTGCCATCTGTCTCAACTTCTGACCTCAAGTGATCTGCCGCCTGGCCTCCAAAGCTGGGATTACAGACATGACCACCACACCCAGCCGAAATAATATTTCTCAGGAAAAAAAACACAAAAACTAGAAACCCTTCTCCCAATCTAACACATGTTAACACTTAACTGTATTGTTTCAGAATTGAAAAAAATAATTCATTGCATCTATAATGTTCTTAGCTCACCAGAGCCAGTCCCAGGGATTTGTCTTTTCTGTAGCTCTCAGACCACTTCTTGCCCTCAGCATGCTACCTGCCAGCCTCTTGGAGAGAGCAGGTGGGACTGGAAGGCAAGAGTGTGGTACTACCTCCTGCTCTGATGCCAGTCCCCAGCCCCTGCCCCTCTATCACCATCCCCTCTGTGAAATGCGTGGCTGTTGGCCACGTGCATGGTCAGCATGTAATCCTAGCACTTTGGGAGGCTGAGTGGGTGATCACCTGAGTCAGGAGTTCAAGACCAGCCTGGCCAACATGGTGAAACCCCGTCTCTACTAAAAATACAGAAACTTAGCCAGGCGTTGTGGTTCAAGCCTATATCCCAGATATTCGGGAGGCTGAGACACAAGAATCGCCTGATCCTGGGAGTGGAGATTGCAGTGAGCCAAGACACGCCACTACACTCCAGCCTGGGCAACAGAGCGGACTCCATCTCAAAAAATAAGGCGGTTGGGGGGCCGGGAAGGCAGGCAGCAGAAATTGATGGCCAGGTGATGTTGGACCAGGTAACCTTCAGAACCCTCTTAACTGGTGTCCTAGGCCCCTGGCTACTCTGTGCTATGAGCATTCACTGACCACGCTGACCTGGCCTCCTGTTTCTCTTCTTCCCTTTCAGTGGCTGCAAGAGGAAGAGGACGTGAATGGGACGTGGAAACATCTTTCAAAAGCGAAGATAATTTCTCCGTTGAACAACCTTTGCCCTTTTTTCTTTCAGGTTATCTGAGTTCACTGGGGTGGTGCTTGTGTATATGTCCTAGGTATCTTTTGACATCTTTCTCTTTAGATCAGAGGAAATGTGAAGCTAAATAAATCTGGGGGTTTTTGTTCTGTTTTGTTGTTTTTTCCTTTGAGAAAATAAGGACTTTGTATTCATTTGGAGTTGCTTTGGCTAAATTTTGACTCCCTGGGGGTGTCCTGGAGAATGCCAGTACTTTGAAATAGCACAGCTATTGATGAGAGTTTAAGCCGCTGTTCCTGGCCAGTTGCAGGTTAAGCCCCAGAAAGTTCACCTTGGAGAAACTCCGAGAACACACAGATTGTGTCTCTTTCATCTTCAGACACCGGCACTTAGTGTGGCACTTGTTCAGTTAACATTTGTGGAATTGTCATCAGCTCAGCTTTAACAATGTAGGTGACCCTGTCCCTTGATAAAGTCCAATGCTCTGACCCCTGTAGTCTGGATATGCTAGTGGTTCAGCATTTGGAAAAGTAATCAATAATAAAAAGTAATTCAGGGCTGGGCACGTGGGTCACACAAGTAATCCCGGCACTTGGGAGGCCAAGGTGGGTGGATCACAAAGTCAGGAGTTTGAGACCAGCCTGGCCAATATGGTGAAACCCTGTGTCTACAAAAATACAAAATTAGCCGGCCCTGGTGGCGTGTACCTGTAGTCCCACTACTCGGGAGGCTGAGGCAAAAGAATCGCTTGAACCAGGAGGTGGTCATTGCAGTGAGCACCACTGCACTCCAGTCTGGGTGACAGAGCGAGACTGCATCTCAAACAAACAAAAAAAAGGTAATTCAGGGGATCCTAGTGGCCAACTTCCTTGCTCCTATACTGGCTACACAAGCAGTTTTGTGGTGATTTGGGAAACAGATTCTTGGGAGCTTATCAGAGCATCTCAGCATTGATGACACATCCATAGTTTTAGTATAGAAGGGTGACCAGCAGCTGGGCACAGTGGCTGCTTCCAGCGCTCTGGGAGGCTGAGGTGGAGGATTGAGAGGAGTTCAAAACCAGCCTGTGAGACATAGTGAGACCCTGTCTCTACAAAAAAATTTAAAAATTAACTCAGCATGGTGGTGCACACCTGTAGTCCTCACTACTTGGGAGGCTGAAGTGGAAGGATCACTTGAACCTGGGAGTGTGAGGCTGCAGTGAGCTATGACCTGCCACTGTACTCCAGCCTGGAAAAAAGAGCAAGACTTTGTCTTTAAAGAAAGATAAGAAGTAGTATGGTGGCAGGCGCCTATAGTCCCAGCTACTCGGGAGGTTAAGGCGGGAAAATGGCGTGAACCCAGGAGGCAGAGCTTACAGTGAGCCGAGATTGCACCACTGCACTCCAGCCTGGGCTACAGAGCAAGACTCTGTCTCAAAAAAAAAAAAAAAGAAGAAGAAGAAGTAGTAAAGAGTGTGAGATACACAGGGTGAATAATTGTGACAACAACACAGAAATGGGAAATGCAGCCTGAAAAGATCAAATAACCAAAAAGAGGTCTTGTCAGGGATTCAGTACGGTATGAGCTACAGTATAAGCATCAAGAGGAAAATGATCAATTATTGGCTTTTAGAATATTGCTCATTGAACAGATTGTTCAAGTAATGGAAGAGGAAGAAAAAAAAATCCAGCACATTAGTTAACCTGGCATCAATTAATGAGTTTCTAATAAGCTTTGTCTTATGATACTACCTGGAGATTACAGAACTGGTATTCTTCTGAGGAATAAGCATCAGTTGGCCGGGCACGGTGGCTCAAGCCTGTAATCCCAGCACTTTGGGAGGCCGAGACGGGCGGATCACGAGGTCAGGAGATCGAGACCATCCTGGCGAACATGGTGAAACCCCGTCTCTACTAAAAAATGCAAAAAACTAGCCGGGCGCGGTGGCGGGCGCCTGTAGTCCCAGCTACTCGGGAAGGCTGAGGCAGGAGAATGGCGTAAACCCGGGAGGCGGAGCTTGCAGTGAGCTGAGATCCGGCCACTGCACTCCAGCCTGGGCGACAGAGCGAGACTCCGTCTCAAAAAAAAAAAAAAAAAGGAATAAGCATCAGTGAGTTGGCCACATACAATAGGCATTTAAAGTAGGGCTTCAGGCCAAACATGGTGCCCCACGCCTATAATACCAGCACTTTGGGAGGTCAAGGAGGGAGGATCACTTGAACCTAGGAGTTTGAGACTAGCTTGGGCAACAAAGCAAGACCCCATCTCTATAAAAAATTGAAAAGTAGCCTAGTACAGCTGACGCCTGCAGTCCCAGCTACCCTGGAGGTTGAGGCAGGAGGACCACGTGAGGCCAGGAGATTAAGGCTGCAGTGAGCTGTAATTGCACCACTGCACTCCAGCCTGGATGACAGCAAGATCCTGTCTCTTAAAAAAAAAACAAATGAAAGCAGTGGTTTTCAACAGCCCCTAAGGATCTTGCTAGAAATGAAGACTGCAAGCCCCATGCCTGGAGCGGGGCCCAGGAATCTGCATTTTAAACAATTCCCTTGTCCCCCAGATAAGTGATTCTATCTTAAGTATTCTATCTTAAGTAGACCTGGAGCCATATTTTGACCCTGTACTAGAATATGTTATTTAGTATACCCACTAATTTATCATACTTTTACAGTAAACAGTACTTTGAATAATAACACATTACACTTAATAGTAGTGAACTGCATCCTCGATCTCAAAAGTGACTTTTGATGTAGTTCACCCTGGACCCATACAGGATCTCCAGCCTTGCAGATTCTCCACATAGTGGAAACTGGCTATAACCCTAACTAGATCCTGAAAGTGAAGGAGGATCAACCTAAAATATGTAGCTTTGTAAACAGTTTTATATCCTGCATCTTAGGGGGAAAAAATCAGTTAACGCATATTGAAAACAAGTTGTTCCGTAAGGTTTATTATGAAAAACAGTAGCCCTCCTACCCTGCCTTTACCCCACTTTCCTTGTCTCACGATAGTCTTTCCAACTCTTGGCTGATTTGTTTGTATTTACCTCCATGTCTCAATATGAACATGTTTTCATGCTATTCCTTGATGGTTTTTTGTTTGTTTGCTTGTTTTAAGACAGTCTCACTCTCCCCCAGGCGGGAGTGCAATGGCACAATCATGGCTTACTGAAACCTCGACCTCCCTGGGCTCAGGTGATTCTCCCACGTCAGACCCCCAAGTAGCTAGAAATACTGGTGTGCGCCACCATGCCCACCTAATTTCGTACTTTTTGTAGAGACAGGGTTTGCCATGTTGCCCAGGCTGGTCTTGAACTCCTGGGCTCAAGCAATCTGCCAGCCTCGGCCTGCTGGGATTATAGGTGTGAGCCACTGCACCAGGCCACCATTATCTTTTGAATCCTCTCTTCCTCCTGCCCACCATGAATATATTTCCTGTCACTCATCTCCCTGATAGTAATCTGTTAGATCATATTCAGTGTTAAATTATTAAGATGTGATTAAACTTTTTAAAAATATGGCAGTGTCATAATATTCACAGCTGAGTCATATCATAGACTAGATTACTGTGGAACTTTTCCCTGCAAGTAATCCTCTTGGCCGGGCGCGGTGGCTCAAGCCTGTAATCCCAGCACTTTGGGAGGCCGAGACGGGCGGATCACGAGGTCAGGAGATCGAGACCATCCTGGCTAACTCGGTGAAACCCCGTCTCTACTAAAAAATACAAAAAAACTAGCCGGGCGAGGTGGCGGGCGCCTGTAGTCCCAGCTACTCGGGAGGCTGAGGCAGGAGAATGGCGTAAACCCGGGAGGCGGAGCTTGCAGTGAGCCGAGATCGCGCCACTGCACTCCAGCCTGGGTGACAGAGCCAGACTCCGTCTCAAAAAAAAAAAAAAAAAAAAAGTAATCCTCTTGCATTTTTATTTGCTTAGTTTTCTATTTGTCACTAATTCAACCCCAGTCATATCTAAAGATCATGACACATCATTTATCAGTTATTATTCTTGACCCACCCCAATCTGGACTGGTTTCCCCCTGTGCTTGGTGTGTCGCTGTCACCCTGGGCACTCCCCACACTGCTCCTCTGTTGGATCTGTTTTCTGTGTAACCTTTTCTTTTATCACCTTATTTTGGGGGAGTACCTGCATGTCTAAAAATGTGCTCACACTTGATTTGACTGGGTATGAAATTCTGTGTTGGAATCAGTATCCTTCAGAATTTTGAAGGTGTGGTTACTTTGTCATCTAACATTGCTATAGAGAAGTCTGAAGTGATGTTGTGTCCAGATTCTTTCTATATGACTGGTTTTTTTCCCCTTCTGTTACCAGTGTTCCAAAATTTCACAATGATATATTAATACCTGGCTTGGTGACCATCTGTTTCGATGCCACGCCCCTTTCCAAGTGGACTCTTGTCCTTAATTTCTGTGAAACCTTCTTGAATTCTTTGTCAGTGATTTTCTTCCTTCGGTTGTCTGTGGTTTTTCTTTTCTTTTCTTTTGAGACAGAGTTTCACTCTTGTTGCCCAGGCTGGAGTGCAATGGTGCAATCTCGGCTCACTGCAACCTTTGCCTCCCGGGTTCAAGTGATTCTCCTGCCTCAGCCTCCCAAGTAACTGGGATTACAGGCATCCGCCCCCACACCCAGCTAATTTGTTGTAATCCCAGCACTTTGGGAGGCCAAGGCAGGTGGATCATCTGAGACCAGGAGTTTGAGACCAGCCTGACCAACATGGAGAAACCCCATCTCTACTGAAAATACAAAATTAGCCGGGCATGATGCACATGCCTGTAATCCCAGCTACTCAGGAAGACTGAGGCAGAAGAATTGCTTGAACCCAGGAGGAGGAGGTTTGCTGAGCCGAGATCACCCCATTGCACTCCAGCCTGGGCAACAAGAGTAAAACTCTGTCTCAAAAAAAAAAAAAAAAAAAAAAAAAAAAAATTCACAAAGCTCAATAATAAAATAAAACATCGGGAAAAAATGTGAACAGACTTGAGAAGATACAGATGGCAAACACACACATGAAAAGATGTTCAACATCATTAGTCATTAGGGAAACGCCAAGTTAAAGCCACAGAGATACCGCTACATACCCAGAAGAATGGCTAACGTTTAAAAAACTCACCATGCTATGTGCTGTTGAAGATGTAAAGCAACAAGAACTCCCAAACACTGCTGATGGGGATGTAAAACTGCACCACTACTTTGGAAAACAGTTTGACAGTTTCTTAAAACATTAAAAATACATCTACCTTATGATCCCGTATTCCACTCCCAGGTATTTACCCAAGAGAAAAGGAAATATATATCCATGCAAAAACTTATGCATGAATTTTCATAGCAGCTTTATTTGTAATAGCCAAAAACTGGAAACAACTCAAACGTCCATCAGCAGATGAATGGATAAATTGTGACACACCGTCCGGCGGAATACTCGGCAATAAATGCTGGTACACGTGAGTGAGTCTCAAAATAGTTATGCTAAGTGAAAAGTCATATAGAAAAGAGTATTTCCGGCCGGGCATGGTGGCTCACACCTGTAATCCGAGCACTTTGGGAGGCTGAGGTGGGCAGATAACTTGAGGTCAGGAGTTCAAGACCAACCTGGCCAACATGGTGAAACCCCATCTCTACTAAAGATACAAAAATTAGCTGGGCATGGTGGCATGCGCCTGTAGCCCCAGATACCCGGGAGGCTGAGGCAGGATAACTGCTTGAATCTGGGAGGTGGAGGTTGCAGTGAGCTGAGACTGCACTCCAGTGTGGGTAACAAAGTGAGATTTCACTTAAAAAAAAAAAAAAAACTATATCCTATATGATTCCATATATCCCAAAAAACTATGGAAACACAAAGCAGATCAACAGTTGCTTTTGGATGGTGGCGGGCAGGGAGAGACAGGAGGGAGGAATTACCAAGAGGCATGAGGAAACATTAGGGGTGACAGGTACGTTTACTATCTTGATTGTGATAGTGGCTTCATGGATGTATATATGTGGCAAAATGTATCATATTGCACACTTAAATCTTGTAAGGCTTGGAATGTCCACTTATTGTGTTTCAATTATACCTCAATGAAGGGTTATTTTTTAAAATAAAACATTATTTTTAAAAAAACAGGCCGTGTGAGGTGGCTCATGCCTGTAATCCCAGCACTTTGATAAGCCGAGGCAGGTGGATGACAAGATCAGGAGTTCAAGACCAGCCTGGCCAATATGGTAAAACCCCATCTCTACTAAAAATATAAAAATTAGCTGGGCGTGGTGGCAGGTGCCTGTAGTCCCAGCTACTCGGGAGGCTGAGGCAGGAGAATCACTTGAACCTGGGAGGCAGAGGTTGCGGTGAGCCGAGATTGTGCCACTGCACTCCAGTCTGGGCAACAGAGCAAGACTCCATCTCAAAAACAACAACAACAAACCAAAAAAAACACATGTAGTGCACAGTTGGAAAAGAAAATACTGATTTTCATGGGTGATTAGCAGCTAGCTGTAAGTGGAAGAAGTGCGTTTTTCTTTCCTTCCAGGTCCCAGAGAAAAACCTCCATGCTGGGTTGATAGCAGCAGCTAGGATCAGTTGCCCAAGACTGGATTCTCGAGATGAAGACCGTCTGCAGAGGCTGACCTTTCCTGCAGGCTCATGTCCTAAAGCAAATTATTTGCACTCAAATATCCTCCCTTGTAGGACAGAAAAGAAGTTCCCGAGTCTTGGTCACATTGGGCCTGTGGAGTACAGTATCTTTTCTACATATTTGCTTTTGATGTTCTCAGCATCCCTGCAAGGCAGGCTGAGGTGTGAGGAGTCTCAATTCCAGGGAGCTGAAGGCAGACTGCAAGAGCTGGGTATGGATGCTGCACTCCTGGGCCTGGGCCGCCTGGGTTTTGCTCAGCCTGGGAAGTACTTCCAAACCCACTCCTCCCTAGTCTCTTACAATCCTGTGGGAGGGCAAAGCCTAAATCATCATGGCTCCTTCCACCAACTAGCTGCAGATCAGGAAAGTGAGGTCCAGGGAGGTCCTGACTGGCTTTGCTCCAGGGACAATGAGGCTAGAGGTCTGTTCCCCACAGGAGGACCATGATGGTTCTCCTGCTTCAAATGGCCTCTTTGGAAGGGGCTTGCTCATGTAGGTGAATCCTGGGGCCGAGCAGCCTCAGTGACAGTCCCTGAAATGGCTGCAGGTGAGGGAGCAGCATGCAGGCATTAACGTCACAGACTGACACCAGGCCCCCTGGGCTTATACCCTGGCTCCTTCAGTTCCTGGCTCTTTGAACTTGGACAAGTAGTCCGCTTTCTTTTTTTTCTTTTTAGAGACAGAGTCTTGCTCCATCACCCAGGCTGTGGTGCAATGGTGCGATCTCAACTCACTGCAACCTCTGCCCCCCAGGTTCAAGCAATTCTCTTGCCTCAGCCTCCCAAGTAGCTGGGATTACAGGTGTTCACCACCATGCCTGGTTAATTTTTTTTTTTTTTTTGTATTTTTAGTAGAGACAGGGTTTTGCCATGTTGGCCAACCTGGTCTCGAACTCCTGACCTCAGGTAATCCACCTGCCTCAGCCTCCCAAAGTGCTGGGATTATAGTAGTGAGTCACAGCGCCCGACCGACAAGTCCCCTTTCTTAACCTCTTTCTGCCTCAGTCGACTCACCTGGAAAACAGAGCACCTACCTTCTTCAAATGAGAAGAGAATTAAAGGAGTATAAGGCCATCAGAACAGGACCTAGCCCAAGGGAGGCTATGGAAGTGCTTGTTGAATTAAAAAATGGCTTCATCTCTGGCCTAGTCCCAAAGGTGTGGATTCCTGCCATTGCCACCCAGAGAGCCCTGGGTGGAGGCCCTGCTGACATCGAACAGTGCCTGCCTGCCCTCCTCTCCTCAATGCAGTAGACACTTTCCAAAACTTACGTCATCTTCACTCCAGTGGGATAATGGGATGCTTGGTGTACCTCGTTCCCAAGATGAGGGAACAGGCTGTGAGAGGACCACATCACCAGCAAGTGACAGGCTGGGATCAAGGCCAGGCCTATCTGCCTCCTAGACTAGGCCTGTGTGAGGACCAGCCTGAGTATGGCCCACCTGCTTCCTCCTCTGTTTAGAGCTTGGGCTGGAGCTGTCCTGGCCAGAGCTCTCTGCCTCACCAGGCTGCATGAGCCACAAGCTGCCACTTCCTGGAACTTGGTGGCCCTGCCCTGGACGGCCTTGCTGGTGGTCATGAAGGCTCCGTGAAAGCTGTGAACACCTGCATGGCAGTGAGGCCAGCCTTCCCCACTTGATCCGTTTCAGGCTCTGGCTCCGCTACTACATCATGTGCTTCTGTCCAAGAGGCAGAGACTTAAACCATCTGCCGCCACCTGGATTCCCGCAGAGCTTGCCTAGGACACCAGCTCAGGTCCTTGTGCACCATCCTGGTAGGAATCTCTCAGTGACGGTGGAGGGTTTGTGGGCTGGCTTAGGGCCAGTGGTGGGCAGAAGTCAGCAGGGCACAAGGGACCGGAGAGCTTGGCATTTCTCCAGCAGGAGTTTCAGGGAGAGCTCAGATGTCTGCTTATGTGACAGGTTTATCAGCCTGCCTGGCCCAGGGCCGGCTCTCATAGTTTTGATTTAAATAATAGCTTGCTCACAGAATAAGTGCATGTTGGTTTGAGCTTTCATTTTCTCATAATCCTCTCTGCTGGCCCCTCCCACCATCTACCCCATTTTGCCTCACTCTGGGGAGCCTGAACCCCCTGTTCCAGAGTAGGGGCATAGGGAAATGCCTCTATGGCTTCTGAGCTGCTGGGCAGGGCCAGTCCCTAAAACAAGGAGAGCTGGGAGGGGGCTGGACCCCGATGGAGTGCTGAGAGCTGAAAGTCCTATTTAACAGATGGGAGGGAGCAGAAACCCCGAAAAGGGAAAGGCCTGGCCAGGTCCCACGCAAGTCAGGAGCAGAGCAGGGCTGAAGCGTGACATCTCCAGTCTCTCCAAAGCCTTTGGGTGAAAAGTCCACCTAAAGCAGTGAGATCAGTGGGGCCTAAGGAAGATCCTTTTCCTCACTGCCTCCATCCCAGTCCTGGGACCCAACACCGTCCCGCCCTCACCCTCCTTGACCATCTCCTTCTGCCCTGAGAGGCTGTTATGCATCCAGCCAGCCTGGGAATGTGCTGGAATCTGTGCACCACGGGGGATGGATACGCCGCTCACAGTCCTCTGTGGGCCGTGGCTGTGAGGAAAAGTCAGAGCTGGTGGGTTGGGGTGTGTAGGCCCAGGAGGACCCCTGCCTCCTCCTTAGCCTTGGAGCCTCCCTCTGCTGCTGAGTGTCTCCTCCTCTAGCAGGGGCCCACTGCCCCCAGACCTTACCTCCTGGCTCAGCACATGATTTCCCTACTCTGGGCCTCAGTATCCCCCCGGACATCTCTAAATTCCTTTCCCGCCTGCCCTGCCTGTCTCCTGGTTGGGCTGAACTGTAACTCCTCACACAGGGCTGAGGGTGACTGTGGCATCAGGCTTCTGGTTGGGAGCCCACCCTGATGGTGCTTGGGGAGGAATGGACATGGTTCCCCCTGCCAGGGACAGCCCTTGGACTAAGGCCCCCTGCTGCTGGCTATGCCCACCTCCACCCCCCGCATGCTCTCCCACATGGGGGACCCCCAAGGCCTAGAGGGAACACACAAGCACTTTGTCTGTGCTAACCCCACAGAGCTGCCCCTCACCAAGTACAACAAGCCTAGGGCTGGGTACTGGGGGTGGCAGGCAGCACTGTACCTTGTGGGAGGCAGGCACCAAATCCTCCCACTTAGTCGCTGTGGCCCCTGCCTCTGGTCTATGCAGCCTTGTTCCCAGCCCAGAGGGCTCTGGTGGCAAGGCTGGCAGCCCAGGCTCGATGTGAGCTTACTGTGGGGCTTTGCTCCTCCTGGGGCTCCCAACCCGCTCCTTCGCAGCTCCCCTTCTCAAGGAGCCCAAGCCCTGCCCAGCTGTGAGGGCCTGCTCCCTGGAGGCCTCCTTTAACTCCCCAGCCCACAGGGATGGACCCAGGACCCCCATATCTTAGACTCCATGGGGGATTTCCCCAAGGAACACCTGGGGGAAGGTCAGTGTGACCTTTGTCCCTCCCTTTTGGATAGACACAGCCACCCTTTCTCCCCACCCCAGCAGCAGGGCTGTTGCTCAGTGACCCTGAGATCGGTGATGCAGAAAAGCAGAGGCGGGTATCACTCTTTATTGTGGGGTCCACGCTATGGGTATTGGGGCTCCTCCCACTGAGGGAAGCCTGAGCCTCTAGCCGGGGCTGGCCTCCTGGCCTCCTATGAGTCCATTCTCCTTCTGTCCCCTTAATCTCAGGCTGAGCATTTGCACTGGATCTCTGGGGGCCTGTGAGTCCTCCTCGACCTTCATGGCCCACTACCATGTGCTTGAGAGCATCACAAGTCAGTAGCAATGAGCCAGGCGGGTGGTGGGTCACCTGGCGCAGCAGGCCTGGGGCTCGGGTCCCAGCCCAGCAGCTGTGGAGTCCCAGGTGGAGGCAGGGGTGGTGGCCAGGTTCACAAGCAGGTCGTGGGAGATGGGGTCGACCAGGTTGAGGAAGGCCACATCTCTGTAGAGGATGTCAGTAAGGAGGGTCCCCTCAAGGCCCAGGTCCTGTGAGTGAGTGGTGAAGAGAAAGTTGAGTGAGCCAGTCGGGTCTCCCATCTCCAGGCCCCACCCCAGCCAGCCAGATGCTGCTTATTGCTGTTCCTGTCTCTCCATCTCCTCCCTAAGGTTGGCTGTATTCTCCCCACAGGCGGCCATGGGCTAATTGTCCAGTGGTGGGTGAACCCTTTCATTTTCCTTACTTATTTCTTTTTTGAGACAGGGTCTTGCTCTGTCACCCAGGCTAGAGTCCAGTGGTGTGATCTCAGCTCATTGTAACCTCTGCCTCCTCAAGGGATCCTCCCACCTCAGCCTCCTGAGGAGCTGTGGCTATAGACGGGTACTACTACACTCAGCTAATTAAAAAAAATTTTTTGTAGAGATGGGGTCTCACTATGTTGCCCAGGCTGGTCTCAAACTCCTGGGCTCAAACGATCCTCCCAAAGTGCTGGGATTACAGGTGTGAGCCACTTGGCCTTCGTGGACCCTTTGGATAAGTACAGGGGAGGGGCATGGGCGCCATCAGGGAAGTGATAAGTGAATTCCAGAACCCTTAGACCAGTTCCCTCGAGGTGAAGTGTTGCGCTGTGACACTGCCTTCTCTGGGCTTAGGGCTTGTCTGTGGGATTCTCCTCTTATGGAGGGGGGTTTGCTCCACTTTTGACCCCTCAAATTCCCCTGTTCCCCAGCATTCCCTTCAGACCCTTTGCCTTCCCACCTATCCCTTGGTTTTCCTGAGCTGCTGCCAGCATCTGTTTGCGGACAGGTCTGGATCCTTCCCTTGGGGGCGGACCTCTCTCTCAGATGTCTCAAAGGCATGCTACCCTGAAGCCGGCCTCACCACCCATGCCCCATGCCCCAGTTCAGTGTAGGGCGCTTCCATGCCCATCTTCCCAGGCACTGGGGCCAGAAGCCCTGGAACCCCCCAACACTCTGCCCTCCTCCTCTCTCCCCCAGCTCACCTAGTCATCCCTTCTCTCTCCCACCACTCCTGCCAGGATTCAGGCCTCCAGCCTCTTCTCCTACCCATCCCTCACCCCACCGCCTGCACAGACCTGCCCTGGCCTTCCTGCCTCACTCCTCCACTTTCTCCTCCTGTCTACTCCCACAGGACTGATGTGGGGCTGAACACTCTTTCAGAGGGTCTCTCTCTCTCTCTCTTTTTTTTTTTTTTTGTGGCGGAGTTTTGCTCTTGTTGCCCAGGCTGGAGTGCAATTGCTCACCGCAACCTCCATCTCCTAGGTTCAAGCAATTCTCCTGCCTCAGCCTCCTGAGTAGCTGGGATTACAGGCATGCGCCACCATGCCCAGCTAATTTTGTATTTTTAGTAGAGATAGGGTTTCTCCATGTTGGTCAGGCTGGTCTCGAACTTCCAGCCTCCGATGATCTGCCTGCCTCGGTCTTCCAAAATGTTGGGATTACAGGCGTGAGCCACTGTGCCCGGCCCAGATGGTCTCTTTAGAGGACACGTTGACAGCTGATGGGGCAGCCACAGCGAGGAGGGGCCTCTAGACCCCATGTGGGCCTTCTCCAATCCATAGGTGATATGCTGTGTGCGTGGGTCCCAAGCACAGGAAGTTGGGCCAGGCAGGGAAGTCCGTGGGTCACAGCTGCAGGGTCCCTGCAGGTTATGGAGCAGGACAAGCCCCTCCCTTGACCTCAAATCCCAACCTCTGGGACAGAAAGAGGTGACCTAGCTGGTCTCTGAGGATCCTTCTTTCCCTCCAGTTTCCCAGCTAAAATGCCCAACTGGTGTCTTGGGCTCCAGACGGCATCCCAGACTGAGATCCCTGCCTCTGGGTGCCTGGCTGATTCAGTGCTGCTCTGCTGTTTGCCACAGATGCCAGCTAGGGAAGATCCAGAAGGAAGGCTGACTGATGAGCCTGGCAGACCCAAACAGGGCCCCACGCTGCAACCTGCCAGCCTGCCTTCTGAGGGTCTAGACAGCTCCTCTTAAAGGGACAGCTCCATTTTTCCAGCCTGCTGAACCCAGAGTTGGAGGAGATTGATAAAGGAAGACAGGAAGAAGGGCTCTGGCCCTGGCTTGCCCCACATTTTCTCTGTGGGCCCCGGGATGACCACTTCGCTACATGCCTCAGTTTCCCCATTTCTAATTATCTACCTTCTGCAGGCCAAACACCTGCACGGCTGACTTTCTGCTCACAGAATGGGGCAGGTAGTGGTGGTAGCTGCTGCAGGGGGTGGGGACGGGGTGGTGAGGGAAGTGGCTTGCCCAGGTGATGGGGGGGACCAGCATCCTGGGACAACCCAGGGCTTGGGATCTGGGTTTAGTGTACCTGGTGTGTGTAGGAGCAGGGCCACCACCGGACCGAGTGTTGTGATGCACAGATGCTGGAGGTGTGTACTCTAAGAGCATGTGCTGCCTTTTGGAGAACTGGTGATGCATGCGATAGCTCTGTGTGGGCTGCCATGGTGTCTTGGGGTGAGGCTGCACCCGCAGACCAGCCCTGGGTCCTCTCCAGGGTCCAGTGCCTCCCCGATCCTGGAGGAGGGGGAAGCCACCCTCTTCCGTTGTCTCTCAATACAAGATGATTCGTCCTCACTTGCCACTCCTCCCGGGCCCCTCCCATCTTGCCAGGGCCTGAATCTGGGCTCTTAGCTCCGGGCTGGGGCCACCCTCAACACACACAACCCTCTCAAACCCCAGAGACCCGGACACACTCAGCGGCCCCCTCCTCCACACACGGTCCGCCGGCCTCACCCAGCCCTCACGCCAGCCGGCCGCCCTCTAGCCCACTCAAGACCCCGCGCGCAGCAGCCCGTCGCGCCCTCGGAACCCGTCCGCGCGCGCCCGAGACCAGCTCCGCCTCGCCTCCCGGCGGATACATGCCCACAACCCACAGCCCCGCGCCTCCCAGACCCCCAGACCCTCCCTGGCCACCAGCCCTGGGGCTGCCGCCTCCTTCTCTCGTCTGGCGCAGGAGCGGCAGCAGCTCCCGGGCGCGCCCTGGCCGCCGCTCGCGGAGCGTGGACTGGATTTCATGGGGCCTGGAGCCACCGCACTCAGAGCTCGAAGGGCGCGGGCGCAGCCGGCCGCCGCCCCGGCCTCGGAGCCAGCCCCGGGCCGGCCAGCCGCGCCCCCACGGCGGCCGCGGGTCGCGCGCCGAATCCACAGGAGGCCGGACGGTCTGCGCCCCGCCCCCGGGGCCGCCCCTAGTCGCCCCGCCCCCATCCACCCCCGCTCCGCCACGTCCGGATCCGAAGGCTGAGCGCCCGCCCTACCCGGCGCCTGAGCTAGGCCAGTGGGTTCCTCGGTTTGACCGGGTCTCACTGGAGGAGGCCCTGCCTGCGTCACTCTTGGCGCCAGAGCTCTGTCCCGAGGGCCTGGAGCCGCCAAGGGAGACGCGAGCTCGGCCGGGACGAGGTGGCTTTTGGCACCGCTCTACCCTCTGGCCCCAGTGCTGACTGGGGAATAGTCGCTTTGACGGTGCAGAGCATTCCAGGCGGGTGTGGGGGTTCCACTGCGTGTGCCAGCATTAGGTATTGCCCCCACCTGCTTTTAGAAATCTGCCCTGCATGGTGAATCTCCGTCTCTACTAAAATACAAAAATTAGGCCGGGCGCGATGGCTCATGCCTGTAATCCCAGCACTTTAGGGGGCCGAGGCAGGCGGAACCCAAGGTCAGGAGTTCGACCAGGCTGGCTAACATGGTGAAACCCCGTTTTTACTGAAAATACAAAAAATTAGCCGGGCGTGGTGGCGGGCGCCTGTAATCCCAGCTACTCAGGAGGCTGAGGCCGGAGAATCGCTTGAACCCGGGAGGCAGAGGTTGCGGTGAGCCGAGATAGATGGTGCCACTGCACTCCAGCCTGGGTGACAGAGCAAGACTCCATGTCAAAAAAAAAAAAAAAAAAAGGAATCTTCCCTGCAGCTGGCAGTTGTGGTGTAGGACCTGCTCACACTGCATGGACACTCCTGCACTGGCAAATATTTACTGCCTCCTGCTTCTTGGTTTGGGGCAGGCCCCCACCTCTGACTCCAGCCTGGGGAATAAACCGGATGAAGAGTGAGGTTAACCGTTAAGCCCAGCTCTGGGCAGGCTGGCAGCAGGCGGGCTGTATCTGCCACTGGCTTCGGTCTTCCTCCCTGACAAGGGGTGGGGCGGGGGGTGGGGGGCAGGCAGGGTGAGGTGGGGGCCCTGGTTCCTCTGAGGACCAGGGTGAGGTACTGACCCAACCAGCTCAAGGAGTATCCCACTTCCCAGGGTTCCCTCAGCAGAAATCTAGGTCTCTGTTGGAGGCCTGCTGGGCCCCTGCAGCCCCAATCCCAGCTCTGGGATCCTCACAATGTTTGAGGCACTGATCTGCAGTCCCCACTTCCTCAAGCAAGGAGCATGTGTCTAGCCTGTGAGGATGGGTACCTGTTGTGCAGGAAGGACTGAGCACCGTCCGAGGGCATATAGTGAGGGATGACAGCCAAGCTCCCGTGTGTGTGTGTGTGTGTGTGTATGTGTGTGTCTGTTAATTACCCTATGAAGATTCAAGGTTCTTCCTTTGGATTAAGCACTGCCTGCCCAGAGATGGCAGTGGGGAGAGGTAGGGTGCCAGGCTCTGTCATCCTGTGGGGCTGGTCCCTGAGACGAGGCAGAGGACAGCAGGATGTCTTAGCTCTTGACCATCCACGGACCTCCAACCCCTGTTGGGCCGTGCCTGCATCCCCTTCTCTCCTGGCACCTGCAGCTGGACATAACACCTCTCCTCCCGCTTCAGTACAGCCAGTATGTCCTGGGGCCACTTGGCACCACAGGTTTCCTCCTTGGCAAACCTGCACGACGGCCTTGCCTGCCCTCCCCAGGGCCAAGGTGCTGTTGCTGAACTGAAGTGGCGACTGAAGTGGGTCAGAGCTTTAAGCAGCAGCCCCAGTGCCCCAGAGACTCCTAGACCCCCTGCCCAGAGCAGGCAGCAGGTAAGCCCTCCCCCTTCCCCTGCAGCTCAGGGCTGGAGCCAGAGCTGGGAGGGCTCCAGGATCCTGACCATGTCCTCCCAGAGGCTGAGCCAGGCTGGACACTGTCCCTCGAATGTGAGAAGACTGGGCGGGGGGAAGGGGGAGGGAGGAGGGGATGGAGGGCTTGAGCATCGAGGCATGAAAGGGGCAACCTAGGCAGTGGTGTGGGGGAGTGCCCAGAGCTTAGAGTCCTGTGGAAGGCAGAGAACTGCCCCAACCCCTGCCTCTCATCCTCCACCCTCTGTGTCCCTGGCTGAGAGGTTCCTAGAGGACATTTTTCCAGCAAAAGAGGGAGGGTGGTGGCTGGGCCTAGATCCTTGGATGGGCTTTTCTCTGCCTGCTTGCAGGGCGCCTAGGGTAAATGGGCTCTTGGAGACAATTTCTGGCCTAACCTGACTTGAACAGGAACCCCCAGAGGCAGAGCTATCCCCTCAGGCGTGGGGGCGTGATTCCACCTCGCCAGCCCATGTGTTTGACACAGAAGGCTGCTGGCCCCTCTCCCTGGGGTTACCCTGAGCAGCAGAGCTGTGCTTGTTGAGACCCAGGGGGTGGAGGGATTGTGATATTGTTCTCTCAGCTCCCAGGGATGATGTGGGAGCTCAAGGGCTTACCCTGGATCCTTTTGGGTAGCCCTGCCATCCCTAGGGAGTCAGTGAGGTCAGAGGTTGGGAGCTGGAGAATCAGGTAGGGAGGACACAGCTAGACCTCAGGCTCTAATGGGAACATACTAGGCTCCAAGTGGGACCTGCCAGGAGACAGGAACTGATGACAGCCACACCTTTGGAGCCTCAAGCCCTCTGCACCCATGCAGTGGCCCAGTTCAAATGACAGGAACACAAGGTCCAGTTGGCTCAGTGGGCTGGTAGAGGGCTGTAGCCAGGGCTCGAACTGGCCTCGCACTGCCTCTGGTCCCTTCTCTACCACCTGGTGATATTCTTCGAGCCTAGGAGGAAAAAAGGCCAGCTCAGGGTTAATGTAACCTCAGCATGTAGCTGGGTGGCACTGAGCCTCCTGGCAGCCACTATAAGAAGGACACAGAATGATTTGGGGGCATTCACTGGAGGAAGGAAGCAGATGGATACTCTAAGGAGAGAGGATGTCCCCTGCGCTTGCTCTACAGTTACGGGTTGTCAACCTTCTGCAGGGCCAGGAATTGTCATGAGGCTGTAGTAGGCAGCAGAACTTGCAGGGTGGGTTGAGATCACAGGTATAGGCTCAGGGCCTGGATTCAAATCCCCTGGGCTGCCACTTGTTGGATGTGTAACCACAGACAGAGTAAGGACCTGCCATAGCAAATTACCAACCCACTTCTGTGGCTTAAAGCAACAGAATAGTTCTGGAGGCTAGAAGTCTGAAATCCAAGTATAGGACAAGGCACGCTCCCTCTGAGGGACTCCAGGGGAAGATCCTTCCTTGCTTCTTCAGCTTCTGGTGGCTCCTGGCAATCCTTGATCAAGGGGGCCAGTCCCTCCACACCTGTGGGTGGTTCTCGTCAGGTGGAATGAGAGACTTGAGAAAGAAAGAGACACAGAGACAAGTATAGAGAAAGAAAAGTGGGCCCAGGGCACTGGTGCTCAGCATACAGAGGACTCGCCTGGCACTGGTCTCTGAGTTCCCTCAGTATTTATTGATCATTATCTTTACCATCTTGGAGAGAGGCATGTGGCAGGACAATAGGGTAATAGTGGGAAGAGGGTCAGCAGGAGAACATGTGACAAATGTCTCTGTGTCATAAACAAGGTTAAGAAAAAGGTGCTGTGCTTTGATGTGCTGCTACATAACATCCGGGTGCATTAAAGAGCAGTATTGCTGCCAGCACAGGCTAGCACGGCTCACCTCCAATCCTAAGGCGGTTTTCTCCTATCTCAGTACATAGAACATACAATCCGGTTTACACTGAGACATTCCATTGCCAGGGACGAGCAGGAGACAGATGCCTTCCTCTATCTCAACTGCAAGGAGGCCTTCTTCTTTTACTAATCCTCCTCAGCACAGACCCTTTATGGGTGTCAGGCTGGGGGACGGTCAGGTCTTTCCCTTCCCACGAGGCCATATTTCAGACTATCACATGGGGAGAAACCTTGGACAATACCTGGCTTTCCTTCCGCAGTGTCTGTGTCCCTGGGTACCTGAGATTAGAGAATGGTGATGACTTTTAACAAGCATACTGCCTTCAGGCACTTGTTTAACAAAGCACATCCTGCATAGCCCTAAATCCATTAAACCTAGAGTAAACCCAGCACATGTCTCTGCAAGCACAGGGTTGGCGGTAGGGTTACAGATTAACAGCATCTCAAGGCAAAGAATTTTCTTAGTACAGAACAAATGGAGTCTCTTATGTCTACTTCTTTCTACATAGACACAGTAACAGTCTGATCTCTCTTTCTTTTCCCCACACTTGGGCTTCCTTGGCTGTAGCTGCATCATTCCAGTCTCTGAAACCATCTACCCTATGTGTCTGTGTGGCCTTCACATGGCCTTCCTTATTTTTGCAATGGGGTCTCACTATGTTGCCCAGGCTGGTCTTGAACTCCTGGGCTCAAGCAGTCCTCCTGCCTCAGCCTCTCAAGTAGCTGGGATTACGGGTGAGTGCCACCATGCCCAGCTCACACAGCCTCTTTGTAAGAAGTCTAGCTACTGGATTTAGTTTTCTTTCTAATCCGTATGATCTTAACTAATTATTTCTATACAGACTCTATTTCCAAATAAGGTCATGTGAAGAAAAATCAGTTTGAATTGTGTTTTTTGGCTGGACACGGTGGCTCACGCTTGTAATCCCAGCTCTTTCGGAAGCCAATGTGGGTGGATCACCCGAGGCCAGGAGTTGGAGACCAACCTGACCAACATAGCGAAGCTCCGTCTCTACTAAATAATAATAATAATAATAATAATAATAATAATAATACAAAAATTAGCCGAGTATGATGGCATGCGCCTGTAGTCCCAGCCACTCAGGAGGCTGAGGCAGGAGAATTGCTTGAACCCAGGAGGCGGAGGTTTCAGTGAGCCGAGATAGCACCACCGCACTCCAGCCTGGGTGACAGAGCGAGACTCCATCTCAACACACACACACACACACACACACACACACACACACACACACACACACACACACAACACTACTGTGTTTTCCCTCTGTTGTCACAAGACAACAATCATCACAGAAGACTTCTGTGACCAAATGTATGGATTCTCCCCACACACCCAGCAAGAATCAATTCTGCAGCCGACGCCAGCTGGTGTCTTCCAATTCAACTCAATTCTCAAGCTGTCTACCTGTAGATGGCCTCAGAAACCACAGGTTGAGGGCTTGGTCCCACAAGACCACCCCTCATCCCACCAGTCACAAGTCTGGGCTTTGGGAACATCTGACTAATCGGCTTCTAATTGGGGTTCCTACAGCACCCTCTTTGGGTTCAATTAATTTGCTAGAGTAGCTCACACAACTCAGGGAGACCTGTTTGTCGGTTTATTTCAAAGGATGTTTTATTTTATTTTCTCCTCAGACATACTTTATCATCACTTAAAGTCAGTAGCTCAAAGGAAACTTTAAAAACTACAAATAGGCCGGGCACGGTGGCTCACGCCTGTAATCCCAGCACTTTGGGAGGTCGAGGCAGGTGGATCACTGGAGGTCAGGAGCTGGAGACCAGCCTGGCCAACATGGTGAAAACTGTCTCTACTAAAAATACAAAATTAGCTCGATGTGGTGGCAGAAGCCTATAATCCCAGTTACTCAGGAGGCTGAGGCAGGAGAATCTCTCGAACCCCAGAGGCAGAAGTTGCAGTGAACCAAGATCCTGCCTCTGCACTCCAGCCTGGGCCACAGAGAGAGATTCCATCTCACACACACACACACACACAAAGATAAAATAAATAAAGGCTACAGATAAACAGTCAGATGAAGAGATACATAGGGTGAGGACTGGAAGACTCCCAAGTACAGAAGTTTCTGTCCTGGTGGAGTTGGACACGTAGATGAGTTGGGTTTTTTTGTTGTTGCCCAGGCTGGAGTACAGTGGCACTAACTCGGCTCACTGCAACCTCTGCCTCCCGTGCTCAAGTGATCCTCCCCTCTCAGCCTCCCAAGTAGCTAGGACCACAGGCATGTGCCACTATGCCCAGCTAATTTTTTTTATTTTTGTAAAGATGGGGTATCTCTATATTGCTCAGGCTGGTCGGGAACCCCTGGGCTCAATCCATCCACCCACCACGCACTCCCAAAGTGCTGGGATTATAGACATGAGCCACTGCACCTGGCCATGGATGAGTTCTTGTTCCCCTTCCTGTCAGCCACCACATGAAGCTCCCCAAACCCTTTCATCTTGGACCTTTAAAAAAAAATTAGTTAAAAAATTAAAGACAGAGTCTCACTATGTTGCCCAGGCTGGTCTTGAACTCCTGGTCTCAAGTGATCCACCCACCTCGTCCTCCCATAGGGCTGGGATTACAAGATTAGAGACGCCAGCTGTCAGGTGGCTAGGTGGATTCAGTGTAAAGTCCTAGAAGATGCATTTTAGTAAAAACAGCCACCTGACAGCTGGCATCCATCCATTCAGTGAAGATTGCTGGGCACTGTGGATACTGTGGAGGAGGCAGCAGTAGCAGCTGGCCTGCAGAGTGAGGTGCAGTGCCGGAGGGCTTCAGGAGGAGGTGGCATTGTGATTGGTGTCTGAAGAGTGCCTCAGGCCATGACAATGGAGCCAGTGCAAAGTCCCAAAGATCAGGAAGGAGCAAGAGGAAAGGACGGTTCATATCCAGCTGCTCAATTCCAAAAAAAAAAAAAAAAAAAAAAGAGGAAAGGATGGGTGCCAGCAAGGTAGGACAAAGGGGGCCTTTGGCATGCTTTTTTTCCCAGTGGGGAAATGGAATGCTCAGATTTGCCTACTGAGTGCCCAGGCTGCAGTAGGGAAACAGCAGGGGGGCTGGAACCTATGATTGGGAGTCTCCGGGTGAGAGGAGTGGCCCTGTGGGGACTGGGGATCAGGTGAGGCTGGGAGTGGGGTGTAGAGGTGGGAGCAACTGGACAGGACCAGTGAGGATGCAGGGGCAGCCTCCCTGGGCTAGACACTGGCTGCCTGGCGGTTGGAGGTCTGGGGAGGCAGCTGCTTAGCTCAGGCTTGGGCACGTCCACCTGGCGCGTCTGAAACATTAGCCAGCAGGGGTGCAGACTCGTCAGTGAGAGCATTCCTGAGCCCAGCATCCAAGAAGTGAGGGAGGTCGGGAAGGTGCTGCTACAAGGCAGAGGGAGGTCCCCAAAAGTCCAGGTGAGAGCATGGCATGCGTGGAAAGTGCTGCGCCATTTTGCCATCAGTGAAGTCATGTGGGGCTGTGGGTGAACAGGTAGGCTTGCACGTACCACCAGGGAGTCATTGAGACAGGAGCAGGTTGGCTCTCCGAGAGATCAGACCATGGAATTGTGTCGGGACTGGGGCATGGACAGTCTCCCCCCACCTCCAACCTCTCCTTGGAGCTTTGAGACACTGCAGATAATTAGCAGGTGATGTGATAAATACTACCTGTGGAGGGTGCCTTGGGCAGGGAGGACAGGGCGCATAGGAGGGTCGCCCTTTGGGCCCCTGCTCTGAGCTGCTCATCAGGAAAGGAGAGAAGCTCCTACAGCCCGGTGTCGTAGCCTGGCGAGACCCTGTGAGGCCTCGAAAGTAGCAGGTGCCTCCTACAGTCTGCGCGTGGCCATCTCAGGGAATCCACCCAGCAACTGTTCTAGTTATCCCTGCTCTTCAGGTAGGAGAATGAGGCCAGGAAGGGAAAGGCTGCTGTGATACCTACACTGTCAGTGGCTGGGGTTGTTTGAACCCAGAGACTCTAGGGCCCATGCCTCTGCCATCCTGCCTCTGGGTTTGATAGTTGGACTTGGTTCACCAAGTGCCAGGCCAGCCCTGTGGCTGAGTGCTCCCAGGCATGCACAAGCTGACAGTTCTGAAGGACCCACACACTTGGCCATGCTCCAGCCTGTGTCCTCACATGAAAGGTGGGTGCTGGAATAATAAATGCTGCAGATGGCACTGGGGGTGTTGGCCAGGCTCTGGGGGCACAGGAGCTCTGTCCATGCCCACAGTTGGCCTGTGCTGACCTCCATCACAACTGAGTGGCACCAGCCCTTTCATTGAGCTGAAGTCTTCCTTCCATCCCTTCAGTGTGGTCTTTGTGGCTCAGAGAGGCTGTGGCCAGGTACAGGATCTGGGGTGGCCCCTGCTTCTCTGCTCTGTGGCCTTAGACAGTGGGCAGGATCTGAGGTCAGGCCCACCTGCAGCAGGTGGACTATTGCAACCTGCAGCAGGTATTACAAAGAGGCAAACTGGGGCTTAATGTTGGGAAGAACTTGCCAGCCAAACACAGTCCCACTGTCTTTGGAGGTAGTGAGCTCCCTGCTGGGCAAGATATGTAAGCCAACCTTTCTGGGATGCTGGAAGATCAGAGACCAAACATTTGAGATTCTGTGATCCCAATATTGACTCAAATGCTATGATGCTTGGATTTGAAGTCAGTTTCATTTAGCCAGTTTACCAAGTGTCTCCTTGGTGCAGTACACCAGGGGATATAAAATGTCCTGGATAATATTGGGTTTCGGGCTCCCAGGGGGCCCTGAGATGTTGTTCCAGCAGTTCTGGAGTATGGGCCAGGCACGGCGGGCATCTGGACCCATCCTGCATTACTCACTCATTGTGAGCTTCATGACTGCCGTTCGGGATGTCACGCCCCCATGCACTGCCCCCACCATTCCCCACAACATGGCCCTCACCATGGCCCACTCAGGGCACGAGGCTTTCTGGGTGATTCCTGGTACTCAGTGTGGTCAGTTTTCTGGATCTGACAGTGGGGTGGGGCTGCAATGAGATGCCAGTTGCAGGAACTGCTTTGCAACTTGTGTCATGGGTCACTGTCTTGCCAAGTGGCTTTGGGCAGGTCCCTTCCCCTCTCATGCTACAGGTTCCTATGCCAAGAGCTCCCTTCTTGCCCCACCAGGAGCTTGTTTTCCCAGATACAGAGGTGGGGCAGATCCCAGCCCATTGAAACAGACAGGGCTTTGGAGGCCACAGTGGGCCCATTTCTCAGAGGAGCCGTGTGGCTGGACGCTGAGCCGGGCACTGGACTGGCCCTTTGGCCAAAGCCCCCGAGGCAGTGTGGGCTGCTGGTGCCAGCACACAGGGGTGATAAGGAGGTGAAAGTCACTGGGATGGTGGGGCGCCACCCCCTGGGCTGTGTTGGCAGCTGTCCCTGGCTGGAGGCCGGCTTGGCCCTGGAACACTCCTCAAGGAACAAGGACACAAGAGAGCCAGCTCAGCCAGCCTCCACCTAGCACCCCAATCAGCGCTCCCTTCTTCCCATGACCCCTGCCCTCTGCTCGGCTCCTGAAGCCGGCGAAGGCGCTAATGGGCACCCACCACGGTCTTAATGAGTGAGCCAGGCTTAATAGGTTACTGGGCCCGTGACACATTGACCAGTCTCCCAGGGATCTCAAAGTCCAGATTGACTTGGCTTTGAAGGTCTTAGCTCGGCCACCTCCTTTTCCAGCCTTGACACCTTGGGGATCAGGAAGGGCCTAAGGTGGTCAAGAGGTCCCCTGTAGCCCTCACTTCCTGGGAAAGGTTCCAGTTCCCAGCCTTCAGGGTCAGGTGGTTCCTTCCACCTGGCAGGTCCTCCCCAAATCCAGTCCCAGCTTGGGCTACATTCCCAAGGCCCCTATTCTAGTGTCTGCCCCTCCCCTAGGGCTCTTCACTCTGGGGTGACCATACTGTCTCATGCCCAGCCAGGTCAGGGCTCCTTGAGAGAAGAATCTGGAGGGGCCAGGATTTGATGGGAGAATGAATGATGGAATGAAAGAAGGAATTTAAGTGAGAGCCTTTCTAAGAGTGACAATTCTGGCAGGTTGCTGACCATGTGTGGGCCTCGATCTGAGGGCTGAGAGGCTTGGGCCTGCCAGCCCTGTGGGGGCACCCACCCCATCTCATTGAATGGGGCAGAGCAGGTGAGGGCGTGATGGATGGACAGGCCTCATCCCCTGCTTCTACTATCTGGGGTCCTCCATCAGCCTATCTGCTCAGAACGCTGAAATTGGGGGTTGAGGAAGGACCTTCCTGGATCATGTGACTCCCTTCAGCCCAGGTGAGGGGGGTCCTTGGAGTAACAGCTCCTAGAGCCCTGCCTGTAGCCCTGCAAGTTGGGGAGAGGGCCTGTTAGGAGAGGTATCCCTTGCCCTGGGGTCGTAGAGGTGATCTAGGCTCCTCAGACCTTGTGGGGTCTCAGATGTTTACATCTCCAACCCCTCCCGGCTTGGGCATCTGGCTGCACCCCAGCTCTGTGGCCTCATCTCCCAGGGAACCTTTGTTTTAATCTGTCTCCTGCTGAAACCCGGCCTCATTCAGCTCAGCGAGGGGGTGAGACTGGTGTGGGCGCACCCTGCAGAAGGATCCTACAGGTGGGCAGAGCCCTGGGTTCTTTATCCGACTGGGTCTGGGCTGGGGGGGCCTCTGTTTCTTGACTGATGAGTGGGTTTGAGTGAGGTATGCGGGTGGGTGAAGGAGGGCTGGGGGGAGTCACCTGACTTAGGCAAAGAAGCCCTTGAGACAGCTGTGGCTTCTTGGAATTAAGAGGGAAGAGTGCAGCATGGAGAAACTGAGGCCCGGGAGGATTTGGCAGCCCTGAGTGGGGGTGGGGGGATCAGCTCTAGAGTAGAGCCAGAGCTGTGATGGGGTTGGGGGACCCTGTGTCCTTGGGCCATGCTTATCCCACTCCTGGGCTCTGTGTGTGGCTGTGGATTGGGGTGAGACAGGGCCGGTTGTGCAAGGGGTCATTGCCCAACTCCAGGGGGTGCCTGCCACCTCTCAGCTCTCTGTAGGGATACATATAGTTCTTTCAACAGGTTTCCAGCAGGTAGAGGTTATTAAATCTTACTGAAGGGGTGTTTTTTCTAATTCTCAACGCTGCACCACAAGGGTAGACAGTGTGGGAGACAGATTCCAACTCCAGGTCTGGGTGGTAAGCATCCGGTCCAGGGGTGTAGACAGGCCTGGGGAAGCCCCAGAGATCTGTACGTTCTCATACCCAGGGGTAGTGACTCCATGCTGGGGGCTGGGCTCACCCTCAGGTCTGAGACCTCCTGGGGCCAGCTGACCTCAGTAAATGCCTTTTGTCTAAGCTTCAGTTTCCTGCCTGTGAATGGGGTTGGGGCTGTGCTCTGGTTTCACCCTTGTGGCTCTGGGGTTGTGGTGACAAAGCCATCAAGCTGGATTGGAGGATTAACAGGGAAACCAGAGTGGCTGCCGTGTCCACCTCTTCCTCATACTCCTCTCTCTGCTGCATCCTGGGAAGCTGCTCAGCTCAGCCTAGATTAGGCTCAGTTGTGGGTGTGTCTGAGGCTGGGCCTGACCCTGCTCCTTACCCCGTGGATGCAGCAGAGCCATGAAGAAATTAGTGGTGCTGGGCCTGCTGGCCGTGGACATTGTTGGCCTCTGTCTCTTGCTGCCCTTGGCCTCCAAGGAACCTGACAACCATGTGTACGCCAGGGCTGCCGTGGCTGCGGATGCCAAGCACTGCTCCGAGATTGGGAGGTGAGCAGGGCAGGGCATGGGGTCATGGGCCCTGGAAACCGGGCAAGTGGACCTGGACAATACGTCTGCCCCTGTAAGACTCAGTTTCCCCACATGTAAGCTTTGCTTGGACTCTCTCAGTAGCCTCTGGGAAGGGGACGGTGACCCCAAGAGCAGGGTGTGGGTCTCCTAGAACCCAACAGGGCCCCTTTTCTCAGTTCTAAGAGTCTCTGTCTCTTTGGATAAACTCCTCTGTTTTGTTGTTTGGTTGTTATTTTTACTTATTTCTATTTATTTATTTATTTATTGAGACGGAATCTCGGTCTGTCACCAGGCTGGAGTGCAGTGGTGCAATCTCAGTTAACTGCAACCTCTGCCAACCGAGTTCAAGCAATTCTCATGCCTAAGTCTCCCAAGTAGCTGGGATTACAGGCGTGCGCCACCACGCCCAGCTAATTTTTGTGTTTTTGTGTTTGTTTGTTTGTTTGTTTGTTTGTTTGTTTTTCCCCTGAGGTGGAATCTTGCTCTGTCACCCAGTATGGAGTGCAGTGGTGAAATCTCAGCTCACTGCAACCCCCACCTTCCAGGTTCAACTGATTCTCCTGCCTCAGCCTCCCAAGTAGCTGGGACTACAGGCATGTGCCACCATGCCTGGCTAATTTTTGTATTTTTAGTAGAGACAGGGTTTCACTATGTTGGCCAGTCTGGTCTTGAACCTCTGACCTCATGATTCGCCCCCCTCTACCTCCCAAAGTGCTGGGATAACAGGCACGAGCCACTGCGCCTGGCCTAATTTTTGTGTTTTTAGTAGAGACGGAGTTTCACCATGTTGGCCAGGCTGGTCTCGAACTCCTGACCTCAGGTAATCCACCTGCTTCGGCCTCCCAAAGTGTTGGGATTACAGGTGTGAGCTACCACACCCAGCTTATTTCTTTTTTTAAAGGTGTAGTCTTACTGTATTGCCCAGGCTGGATTGTAGGGGAGCAATCACAGCCCACTGCAGCCTCGAACTCTCGGGTTTAAGTGATCTTCCCGCCTCAGCTTCCTAAAGTACTAGGATTACAGGTGTGAGCCACAGCACCTGGCCTCTACTGTTTAGACTTCTATCTTGTGTTATATACAAAGATCAGTTCCCTCCTAAAGGCTTAAACAGAACAAATGTTGTGTTTTTGATTTTTTGAGACAGGGTCTTGTTCTGTCGCCCAGGCTGGAGTGCAGTGGCATGATCATAGCCCACTGCAGCCTTGAACTCTTGGGCTTAAGCCATCTTTCCACCTCAGCCTCCTGAGTCACTAGGACTACAGGTGTGCATCACACCTGACTAATTAAAAAAGACTGTTTTGGAGAGATGAGGTCTCACTATATTGCCCAGGCTGGTCTTGAACTCCTGGCCTCAAGTGATCCTCCATCTTGGCCTCCCAAAGTGCTGAGATTACAGGTGCAAGCCACCGTCCCCAGCCAGGAAAAAAAAAAAGTTATTAATAAAATATAGCAATTTCCCTTTTTGCCCCACTTATAAAAGTCATATACATTTGTTTGCTTGAAAAAGAGGAAACTGGCTGGGCGAGGTGGCTCATACCTGTAATCCCAGAACTTTGGGAGGCTGAGGAGGGTGGATCACCTGAGGTCAGGAGTTCAAGACCAGCCTGGCCAACATGGTGAAACTCCTTCTCTACTAAAAATACAAAAAATTAGCTGGGCATGGTGGCGTGAGCCTGTAATCCCAGCTACTCAGGAGGTTGAGGCAGGAGAATCACTTGAACCCAGGAGGCAGAGGTTGCAGTGAGCTAAGATCACACCACTGTACTCCAGCCTGGGTGACTGAGTGAAACTCCGTCTCAGAAAAAAAAAGGAAAAAAAAAAAAAAAAAAGAAAGAAGAAGAGGAACTGTAATCCCAGCACTTTGAGAGGTTGAGGTGATAGGATTGCTTTAGATCATGAGTTCGAGATCAGCCTGGGCAACATAGGGAGACCTTGTCTCTACAAAAAAGACAAAAAATTGCCAGAACAGTGGTTTTTACCTGTAGTCCCAGCTACTCAGGAGGCTGAAGTGGGAGGATTGCTTGAGCCCAGGAGGTCAAGGCTGCATTGAGCTGGGACTATGCCACTGCACTTCATCCTGGGTGACAAAGTGAGACTCTGTCTCATAAAACAAAGGCCAGATGCAGTGACTCACATCTGTAATGCCAGCACTTTGAGAGGCTAAGGTGCGTGGATCACTTGAGCCCAGGAGTTCTCGACCAGCCTCGGCAACATGGCAAAACCCCATCTCTACAAAAAGCAAAACAAACAGAAAAAATTAGCCGGGCGTGGTGGCATGTGCCCATAGTCCCAGCTACCTGGGAGGCTGAGATGGGAGGGTCAACTGAGCTCAGGATATTGAGGCTACAGTGATCTGAGATCACACCCCTGCACTCCAATCTGAGCAACAAAGAGAAACTATGTCTCAAGAAAAAAAAAAAAAAAAGAGGCCAGGGCAGGCTGATCATGAGGTCAAGAGATCGAGACCATCCTGGCCAACAAGGTGAAGCCCCGTCTCTACTAAAAAATACAAAAATTAGCTGGGTGTGGTGGCGCGTGCCTGTAGTCCTAGCTACTCGGGAGGCTGAGGCAGGAGAATCACTTGAACCTGGGAGGCGGAGGTTGCAGTGAACCAAGATTGTGCCACTGCACTCCAGCCTGGCAACAGAGTGAGACTCCATCTCAAAAAAAAAAAAAAAAAACCAAACTCGAATGGACTTCTCTTCCATCCTCCGTTAGGCAGGTGGGCAGCAGGGTGTGAATGTGGGGCCAGGATGGAAGCCTGCAGGTTCTCACGTCTTTATGTGCCACATGGCAGGGACGCACTGCAGGACGGTGGCTCTGCGGTGGATGCAGCCATTGCAGCCCTGTTGTGTGTGGGGCTCATGAATGCCCACAGCATGGGCATCGGGGGAGGCCTATTTTTCACCATCTACAACAGCACCACGCGTGAGTGCCTTGGGAGAGGCGAGGGAGAAGGGCGGGGGGTGTGGGTTGGGCCAAGGTACAGCTGGGTGGTCCCTGGGCTCAGGGCATGGGTCTGCCTGCCTACCTGCTTCTCCTTCTAGGAAAAGCTGAGGTCATCAACGCCCGCGAGGTGGCCCCCAGGCTGGCCTTTGCCAGCATGTTCAACAGCTCGGAGCAGTCCCAAGACGGTAAGCGGTCCTGCAGGCTTGGGGAGTGGGTGCAGAGCCGGCTGGGCCACCGGGAAGGGGCCTTGCCCACAGGAGCCTGGCCCCATCAGGGTCCGGGGGCAGTTCTAGCACCCCCATCCCTTCCTGGCCCCATAGCATCCTCCCACAGTGAGTGGTCAGGACCATCATCACCAGGGTAAAGGGCCGGGAGCTTCTGTTATTTCTGCTGAGGCCTCCGGGGCCACCCTGTGCAGCACACGGAGAGAATAATTATTATGCTAGCAGCCCTCACGGACCAGGGCTCACTGGGGCCCAGGCTGTGCTCCGTGCTTTTCACCCACAAGCCCCTCACACCCCTCCCTTCTCCTTTGCGATACGGGATGCTGTGTGGATTCCCATTTTACAGGGTGGGGATGCTGAGGCTCAGAGAGGTCATGCAAATCAGCTGAGGTCACACAGCTGGGAGGTGGTGAAGCTAAAATTGACCCCAGGCTGTCTATACCCTGCCTTTTCAACAGGCATCCCATTCACTCATTTGTTCATTTGTGGGGATGGCGCTCTAGAGTGTGAGGTGGAGTCTCTCTTTTCCAGTCTGGTCTTCAGTGGAGAGGAGGCCCCCAAATTCCCCAGGTACCTGAGGGGAAGCCACTGTCTATCCAGGGACACTGCTCAAAGGAGGCACAATAGATTGTGGGATAAAAGTTGGAGGATGGGAGCGTCTCAACAGCTCACGCCTATAATCCTAGTACTTAAGGAGGCCAAGTCAGGAGGACTGCATGAGCCCAGGAGTTTGAGACCAGCCTGGGCAACGTAGCAAGACTCCGTCTCTACAAAAAATGGAAAAAAAAAAATTAGCCAGGTGTGGTGGTATGTGTCTATGGTCCCAGCTACTCGGGAGGCTGAGGTGGGAGGATCACTTGAGCACAGGAGGTTGAGGCTGCAGTGAGCCATGATTGTACCACCACACTCTAGTTTAGGCAACAAAGTGAGACCCTGTCCAAAAAAAAAAAAAAAAGAAAAGAAAAGAAAAAGACTGGGTGCGTTGGCTCACTCCTGTAATCCCAGCACCTTGGGAGGCTGAGGGGGGTGGATCACGTAGGTCAGGAGTTCAAGACCAGGCTGGCCAATATAGTGAAACACTGTCTCTACTAAAAATACAAAAATTAGCCGGGTGTGGTGGCATATGCCTGTAGTCCCAGGTACTCATGAGGCTAAGGCAGGAGAATCACTTGAGCCTGGGAGGTGGAGGTTGCAGTGAGCCGAGATTGTGCCACTGCACTGCAGCCTGGGCAACAAGCATGAAACACTGTCTCAAAAAAAAAAAAAAAAGTTGGAGGTTGGAGGGGCAGGGCACACTCACCATAGCAAGTCTTATACCTCAGGTGGGGATCCTGGGTGGTGCCCTTTGGAGTCTTCTGCAACATACTCAATCTTTGATTTTTTGTTTTTGTTTTTGTTTTTTTTGGAGACGGCCTCTCGCTCTTGTTGCCCAGGCTGGAGTGCAGTGGCGCAATCTCCTGTCACTGCAACCGCCGCCTCCTGGGTTCAAGCGATTCTCCTGTCTCAGCCTCCCAAGTAGCTGGGATTACAGGTACCCACCACCATGCCCGGCTAATTTTTTGTATTTTTAGTAGAGACGGGGTTTCACTATGTTGCCCAGGCTGGTCTCAAACTCCTGACCTCGTGATCGGCCTGCCTCAGCCTCCCAAAGTGTTGGGATTACATAAACCTTTGCCCCATCTGTAAAACGAGTCAGGGAATGTGCCTGGGATGCTGCCTGTGAGAGATTCTGATGTTCCCTACTCACGGTCGCTAACTGTGGCTCTCTCTCCCCAGGGGGACTGTCGGTGGCGGTGCCTGGAGAGATCCGAGGCTTTGAGCTGGCGCACCAGCGGCATGGGCGGCTGCCCTGGGCTCGCCTCTTCCAGCCCAGCATCCAGCTGGCCCGCCAGGGCTTCCCCGTGGGCAAGAGCTTGGCAGCAGCCCTGGAAAACAAGCGGACCGTCATCGAGCAGCAGCCTGTCTTGTGGTATGTCTGTGGGTGCGGCCCCCTGACACAGGCAGTGCAGGCACAGCCCAAGGACCCTGCAGGCCCCTAGCAGCAGTGGAATGGCCCTCTGCCTTCAGGACCCCGCACTGATAATGGGCTGAGGAGATGCAGACCCTTCCCACCACGTGTGGGGACACATTCTGAGGTGGGATCCCAGTGACCACTGTGGCTGGCCGTGTGTCCTGAGTGGCAAGGGACACTAGGAGGCTCCCGGAAGGGACACTGGGAGGACGAGCGCTGAGTGACGGGGCAACCCACCTGTGACAGGCGCCGCCCCTGTTCTGCTCCATTCCCCTGTGTGGGTGGGTGTGGGGGATGGTCTAGCTGAGTCCATCCCACCTGCTTCCTCACGTGAGCCCCCTCTGCCCCAGTGAGGTGTTCTGCCGGGATGGAAAGGTGCTTCGGGAGGGGGAGAGACTGACCCTGCCGCGGCTGGCTGACACCTACGAGACGCTGGCCATCGAGGGTGCTCAGGCCTTTTACAACGGCAGCCTCACGGCCCAGATTGTGAAGGACATCCAGGCAGCTGGTGAGTGGATAACCTCAGGGGTGAGGAACCCTGCAGTAGAAACCCTGAGCCGTGGCCCAGAGCCTTGAGGTCCACCAGTCCTGCCTGAGCCTGCAGCAAGTTCCTGGTGGAGGAGGGTCAGTGACTGGCCATGTGGGTCCACAGCTCCTGCTTGTGTCAAAACTGAGAGAGACCATACAGTCCAGGAGAGCAAGTCCCTGGTGGGGTAAATGCAGGTGCAAGCAAGAGCCAGGGGTAGGGAAGCACTAGAATACAACCTGAAGATCCAGGAGGACTTCTTGGAGGAGGTGGTGGCTGGGCTGCAGATAATTTTGTTAGGCAGAGAGAGGAAGGGATTCCTGGCAGAGGAACAGCTGGGCTAAGGCCCAGGGAGACGGGGCTTTGATTCACCAGGAGGGTTATGTGGATGAGGGTCACCTTGAGAGAGGCGTGGGGAAGGGGCTTTGTGGGGCAAGGGTCTGGAGCTTGGCTGTGACTTTCTTCAGGTAATTTTTGTCACTGTTTCATGGAGGAGGGTGATTAGCATGTCGACCTTTACCACTGAGGCTGGAAATTAGCATGCCAATACCCTGTCTGTCTGGAGCTGACTCCTGGAGAATTAAGAACCTCCCTCCCTCCCTCTATCCATTCATCATGGGAAGAGGCTGAGTGGCAGGGACACCAGCAGGAATTCTCCATTTCGAAAAGGCCCTCTGAGCTGGGCACGGTGGCTCACGCCTGTAATCCCAGCACTATGGGAGGCCGAGGCAGGTGGATCACCTGAGGTCAGGTGTTCAAAACCAGCCCAGCCAACATGGTGAAATCCTGTCTCTACTAAAAATCTCTCTTGAGCCGAGATCAAGCCACTGCAGTCCAGCCTGGGCGACAGAACGAGACACCATCTCAAAAAAATAAAAAGAAATATAGAAAAGGCCCTCTGAGGCCAAGCTTGGTGTCTCACACCTGTAATCCCAACACTTTGGGAGGCTGAGGTAGAAGTTGAGGCCAGGAGTCCAAGACAAGCCTGGGCAACATAGTGAGACTACAAAAAACATATTGAGACTCTACATAAATATAGTGGGGGTGGGGCTGGGGAACCAGAAAACAAAAAATTCAAAGCATACTGAAAAGAAATATAGCAAGACCCTACAAAAAAATTAAAATTTGCTGGGCGTGGTGGTGCCACCTTTAGCCTCAGCTACTGGGGGAGGATCTGCTGGAGGATCACTTGAACCCAGGAGTTCAAGGCTGTGATTAAGCCACTGCACTCCAGCCTGGGTGACAGAGCAAGATCTTATCTCTAAAAAAGAAAAAAGAAAACACTGTTTGGCCACAGAAGGCAGACAGGAAGCCAGTAAGCGAAGCAGGCAGAGGGCAGGTGGCCCCAGCCCAGCTGTGGGGTGGTGAGCAGTGTCAGGGAGACAGGAGTTCAAGAGCGAGTGAGGTTCCCAAGGGGGCGAGGTTGCCTGTGGCCCCCTCCCAGGGCACAGTCCCACCCCTCCAGTAGTGCACTCTGTCCTCCCTGGTAGGTTCAGGCTTTTCCCCACCACTATGGTGCAGCCATGCCTGCCCCCAACACCACTGGTGCAGCTCCATCCTCCACACAAGGGTGCAGCCCCTTCCCAGCGCCCATTCGAGCTGCTGTCGCGTTGCAGGGGGCATTGTGACAGCCGAGGACCTGAACAACTACCGCGCTGAGCTGATTGAGCACCCGCTGAACATCAGCCTGGGAGATGCGGTGCTGTACATGCCCAGCGTGCCGCTCAGCGGGCCCGTGCTGGCCCTCATCCTCAACATCCTTAAAGGTGAGTGGTCGCACCACAGCCCTGTGGTAGGACCCATGACACGCCCCACCCCTGCTGCAGCTCTGCTGGCCCCCATGCCACGTCTTTGCATCACTGAGCTCCCAGGGAGTGCTCCTGTGTCACAGCTCACCATGTCCTGAAGGAGGCAGTGCAGAGCCACAGGGCTGAAGTGGGCAATGCTCAAGGGTTGGAGGAGGAACAGGAGTCATCAGGACGGAGAGAGGTACAGGAGCTCAGGGCTGCAGGGCTTGGTCCAGAGGGCATCCCTGGTCCAGTGGGTGGCCCTGCCACTTGGTCATTGCATGACCAGAGCTGATGCGTGACGTGAGATCCAGGTTGGGGAGCCTTCACCTTACTTCACTCTCACCACAGCCTTCTGAAGCAGCTGCTGCTATTGGTTATTAAATGCTCCTTGAGGTGGGCAAAGTGGCTGAGGAAGGTGTTCACCCTCTGAGTCCCTCAGATCCTCTGGGGCTCAGCAACGTGCACCTGGCTCTGATCAACCAGGGTACAACTTCTCCCGGGCGAGCGTGGAGACCCCGGAGCAGAAGGGCCTGACGTACCACCGCATCGTAGAGGCTTTCCGGTTTGCCTATGCCAAGAGGACCCTGCTTGGGGACCCCAAGTTTGTGGATGTGACTGAGGTAAGGGGCAGAGGCTGGCCCACTTTAGGCGTGGGGCCTGCTGTAGAGGCATCAGGTGGGCTCCCCAGGGCGGCTGCAGCCTCACATATGCTTTATGAATCCATTCCTGCCACAAACTTTGATTGCGGGCCTACTGTGTGCTCAGATGGACTGGTCGGTGACCCCGGGTCTTGGCCTCTGCCCCACAGAACTGACAGTGTGGGGAATTAGTGGCCACACTCCTACCTCAAGTGCTTTGCACATGCTGTGGTTCTTGAGCTCAGTGCTGAGATGAGGAAAGCATGGGGGCATTGCAGCCCTCAGGCATGAGGATGAGGAGAAGGACAGGTGAAAGGGAGAGCTCCATGCTGGGTCCCTGTGAGACCCTGTCATATCCCTTCCCGCTGAGGATCCTCACATCCCTCCTTACATACTCGGGTCCTTGGCATTCCCAGGCAGACCTGCAGACCCCTCCACACTGACCAGGGACCTCCCCGGAGGGGCCTCAGCTGCCCGGGTGGTGTCTTCTCTTTCCCCATGAGCATTCTGCACCTCTGACTCCTGCTGTAGCCAGTGACCTGGTGTCTTGTCTCTTTGAGGGGACAGGGCCACTACAGTGTGTCCCTCTGCCCTCCCTTTTAGCTAAGGCCAGCTCTTCCATCCACACGCTGGCTCAGGGCACTGTTCCTACAATGCTCCTCTCTGCCTCTGACCATTTCCTTCTTTATAACGGATTATTCCCGAAAGAAAGGCAGCTCTTGTAGCTCTAGAAACTTCCATCTGCTGCCTCCTTCTGTCCTCTGCTCCCCTTACAGCAAACATGGCTGGGCTATGTCCTCTCTCCCTTCAGGGTGTCCCCTCCCCTGCTCTATCCCCATACCACCAGATTGCCACATCCAGCCTCAGTTTCCCCATCAGGCCCCACTCAACAGCATCTCACACAGCACACCACACTGTCTTCGAGTTTTCATTTTGCAAATTTTCACACCTACGAAAATGTTAAAAAAATCCAAAACCGTCCAAGTGTCAATGTTCCCTTTCCCTAGAGTCCACAGTGTGGACGTTTCTGCTGGATTTCCTCTCTCTCCATCTCCACCCACGTCTATTGGGATTCGTGTTTTTCTGAGGGATTTGACAGTAGGTTGCTGATGTCACACCTCAGGGTGTGTCTCAAGAGTGAGACTTGAACATACCACAGCAGGATGCTGGGGTGACACAACCTACTGTCCCTTCTCTTTACCTACAGTAGGCTCCCTTGGCTGTTTTGTTTCTGTTGTGTTTTTGTTTGGACACAGAGTCTCTGTCATCCAGGTTGGAGTGCAGTGGTGTGATCTCGGCTCACTGCAGCCTCAACCTCCAGGGCTCAAGAAATCTTCCTACTTCAGCCCCTCCAAGCAGCTGGGATCACAGGCACATGCCACCAAACCTGGCCAATTTTTGTATTTTTTTTTTTTTTTTTTAGAGACAGGATCTTGCCATGTTGCCCAGACTGGTCTCAAACTCCTGGGCTCAAACGATCCTCCCACCTCAGCCTCCCAAAGCGCTGGGCTTACAGGTGTGAACCACAGTGCTCGACCTGTTTTGTTGATTTTTAAAGCCCGGGGCAGTGGTCTTGGAAGATGTCCCACATCCTGGATTTGCCTTTCTGTTTCCTTAGGGGCAGATTCAGACAGAGCACCTTGCCCTGCGATTGCTAATCTGTGGGGGTGTTGCTGAAACTCTCCTGAGGCATTTTCTTCAGCCTTCAGGGCCCATCCTCTCTGTCTCCTCCTTCACCTCCTCATCTCCTCCTCACCACGGCCTTGGGGACCTTGGCCAGGCTCGTGGCATCCAGCAGCCTCTCAATGTCAATACCTCCATATTCATCCCTCAGCCCGCCCTTGCCGGTGCACCCATGCTTATACATGCGCCCATGCTCTTCAGGTCTGATGAAGCATCCAAAGACAAGCTCCTGACCGTCGCCAAACCTGCCCCTTCTGCAAGATTTGCCTCCCTAGTTGGCGCCATCCTCAATTCTTCTCTTTCTCCCACCCAGGCCATCATCTCTTGCCTGGTTGATACCCGCAGCCTCCCCTTTGGGCTTTATCCTTATCCCCCTCACAACTGCCAGAGGGACCCTGTGAAAACACTCCCCAGCCTGCTCATTCCTCTGCCCAAAGCCTGCGTGGCACAGAGCAAAAGCCAGTCACTAAGGGACCTAGGAGGTCCTGTGGGATGGGCCCCAGCCTGCATCTTCATCTTCTTCTCCCCCGACCCCATTCACTCTCTGCCTATCGCTTACCAGCCTATACCGCCTGCCTCAGGGCCTTTGCACTGACCATTTAGGCCGCATTCCAGGCTCTTTTCACATGTTGCCTCCTCTGAGAAGCCCTCCCTGACCACTCTGCCCATACCTCATGCCTCTTGATTCCCCTTACCTGGCTTGTGGCTTCAGCAATTTCCCCGTGTGCATTTGTTTTTCTTGGCATGAGAGCAGGGACCTAAGTATCTGTTCCCTGTTGATTTTCCAGTGCCAGGCATGCAGTGCAAACTCTAGAAATATTTTTTGTGTGAGTGAATGAGTGATTGAATGTGGCAAGGGTCTGGAGGCTGAGGGCCAGACAGACATTCAGAGTTGCTGGAAGGCGACAGAGACAGAGAGTCAGACTGGTCATGCAAAGTCCTGGGCCTGCCCTTGAGCCCTGGGGAGCCATGGAAGGCTGTGGGTGCCAGAGGGTTGTGGTCAGAGCCACAGTCAGGGGCCTTCTGAGACCTGTGCCCCCTCCCCACCCTCCCTCCCCACCTCCTCAGGCCAACTCTTTGGTCTCGGCAGGTGGTCCGCAACATGACCTCCGAGTTCTTCGCTGCCCAGCTCCGGGCCCAGATCTCTGATGATACCACTCACCCGATCTCCTACTACAAACCCGAGTTCTACATGCCAGATGATGGAGGCACTTCCCACCTGTCTGTCGTCGCAGAGGACGGCAGTGCTGTGTCCGCCACCAGCACCATCAACCTCTAGTAGGGGCTGCTGGGCCGCCTGGGTGGGACAGGGCCAGGGGCATGTGGCCCAGGGACTGCCCATTTATCCAGTAAGGTGGCTCCATCACCTCTTTTCCTGGTGGAAAACTGAGGCCTGGCCTTGGTAGCTTATCCTGGGCCTCTCAGGGAGTAAGTCTGAGCCTCAGTGGGTGGATAGGGACCAGGCTGGGTCGGGCGAGGTCAGGCGCTGTCTGACCTGGCTGGGCGGTAGCTTTGGCTCCAAGGTCCGCTCCCCAGTCAGCGGGATCCTGTTCAATGATGAAATGGATGACTTCAGCTCTCCCAGCATCACCAATCAGTTTGGGGTGCCCCCCTCACCCGCCAATTTCATCCAGCCAGGTATGGGGTGGAGGTCCGGGGGTGGGGGGCTGAGGTGGAGAAGGGGGGGTGTCCTGGGCAGGCAGCTGACCGGTATCCCCGCCTTCTCCCATCGGCCGCAGGGAAGCAGCCGCTCTCGTCCATGTGTCCAACGATCATGGTGGGCCAGGACGGCCAGGTCCGGATGGTGGTGGGAGCTTCTGGGGGCACGCAGATCACCACGGCCACTGCACTGGTATGTGTCACCCCTTTTCTCCCTGGCGCTGCCCACCCTGCACAGCCCCCAGGCCATGCTGATCACACTCCCATGCCCCAGGCAATCATCTACAACCTCTGGTTCGGCTATGACGTGAAGCGGGCCGTGGAGGAGCCCCGGCTGCACGACCAGCTTCTACCCAACGTCACAACAGTGGAGAGAAACATTGACCAGGTGCGCTGGGGGTTGGAGAAACTGAGTCACGGTGTGGGGTCCCAGGGCATCCTGGACTGGAGGCCTGGATCATCATGGAGTGGACAATGGTTGGTGTCCTCTCTCTGGTGCCTGGGCCATCTGGAGCGCCTGTGCCATGAGGGCCAAGCCCCTGCTCCAATGAGACCAAACAGGCCCCAACCTGCTCTTCCTGATGACCTGGCCTGAAATGGCACCACCTGGGCTGAGGCCTGTGACCACACAGGCATGGTTCAGGTGGCACCTGGAGCCCTGCTCAGGCTTCCCGTCTCCTCCCACCCCCAGGCAGTGACTGCAGCCCTGGAAACCCGGCACCATCACACCCAGATCGCATCCACCTTCATCGCTGTGGTGCAAGCCATTGTCCACACACCTGGTGGCTGGGCAGCTGCCTCAGACTCCAGGAAAGGCGGGGAGCCTGCCGGCTACTGAGTGCTCGGGGCAGACAAAGCTGACCAGCAATCCAGGGACAAGATACTCACAAGGACCGGGAAGGGGACTTTGGGGTCGTGCTTCCCTTGTGAGTGGCAGAGCAGCACAATAAATGAGGCCATTATGCCAGGCTCCAGGCAGCCTCCCTGGCCTGGCTCCCCACTCTCTGGGCCTCACTGTATTGTATGTGAAATGGAGCAATCTGGCTGCGGAGGAACGGAGAGGTGGGATTCAGAGATCTTCACACTGCGGTCGCTGGAACTAGCCTCAGTATCTTCAGCATGGGGAGAGCCAGGCCCATGGCTGGGGGCCCAGGGAAGGTCCATGCCAAAGGCCAGGCCCTTCTTCCCTGGGCTGGGCAGGGACACTACCTAGGACCAGCCACCAGGGGGTGCCACGACCCTGGCGCTTTCTTAGGCAGCGGGTGGCCAGCTGATGCCGGGAACCCGGGTGTCTTCCCAGACCCGCAGGCGTCCAGCTCACCCAGCCGAGGACACGGGAGGTGAAGCTGATGTCCGAGGAGTGGGGATTTGGCAAGAGGCTGGAGCAAAACATCTTGGTCAGAGCCAAGCTCCTGGGGGGTTTCCAAGAGCAAGCCCAGAGTGAAACCCAAGCTTGTGATCCTCTCCAGAGGGAGGCCTGGTTCTCAGGGAACAGCAAATGGGAAGAGGTCCCCAGATCCCAGGGATCAGGGCTTGGACCAGCTGGGGACACAGCCCAGAGGGAGTGGGTCTGGAAGGGAACAGCTAGACACAGCAGCCTTCACCATCGGCAGCCCCTCCCGGCCTCCCTCGGGGTCTGCTCCCTCCTCCGGGCACAGTTCCAACACCTGGGGCAGGGTTCTGGGAAAGGCTGGTGGGAGGCTGTAATCACAGCCCAGCACCTGAGTATCACCAGGGGCACTGGGGCCAGGGCCCAGGTGAAGCCAGGTCGGGGCTCTCCTTTAGAAGCCCCGAAAACCTGGTGATACCAAAGGGCCCACAGACAAACAGGGTTTTGTGCCTGCGGAGTTGAGTACCACCGGGTCTAAGCCCTGGAGGGCTGTGTCCCTGGGGCTCCCCAGGGGTGAGATGGAGGTGGGCTCAACTGGTGTACACGTCACTCCTCAATCCTTATTTTATTTATTTAATTTAAAAAACTATTTAAACAAATAGAGATGGGGTCTCACTATGTTGACCAGGCTGGTCTTAAACTCCTGACTTCAAGCAGTCCTCCCATCTCGGCCTCAAAAGTGCTAGGATTACAGGGATGAGCCACTGCACCCGGCCTCAATCCTTATTTTGGCCTGAGAGGAAAGGCCGTGGCCCCGTTTGCAGGGGAGAAGACTGAGGCTGGAGGGGCAGGCCTTGCTCTGGGTTGCACAGCAGCAAGAGAAGTGGGAGCTGGCCACGAGGCTTCCTGGACCTGATACGCTGCTGGGGTACACCCTGGTTCTCCAGGTCCCATGGGGCTCAGCCCAGGACTACTTCGGGAGGTGGGGGACTTAAACCCCCTCTTTCCTTCTCATAGTCCCTTCTCCCATCATTTCCTGAGGAAGGACATTCAGGGACCTCCCTGGCTGTGCCTCAGGACTAGAATGACACCCATTCTTTTCCCTGGGCCTTTGCTCAGGCGGTCCCTGCACCCTGGCCTCTGACTGACCAGGGTGGTGGGCAGAGGAGGGGGGACGTCCCCTCCGCTGCTGTCTCCACTGTCCCTGCTGCCCTGACCTCTGGGCTTCCAGGACTGCAGTGGGTGGGTGGGTGGCTGGGCTGGCCTGAGCCCAGGAATGCACTTCGGCTCCTGGTTGAGCAATGTCACTGAGGCTTGGGAGTCGGGTCGGGTTGGGAGGAGGAGTCCACAGGCCCCCACTGTGAAAGGCAGCCGTGGGAACAGTCTGCCTGTAAACAACCACTCCAGCCCAGGCTGACCAGGGGCTCTGGCTGGACATAGGGGCCTGGCAGGCTGTGTGGCCTGTAAGGACACAGTCTGTCTCTGTGCCTCAGTTTCTCTGCTGCCCAGTTGGGCGTCCCAGACTCCAGGTGTAGACATCTGGAGCAGGCAGTGCTCAGCTGGGAAGGAAGTGGGGAGGACTGGAGGAGCCACGTGTGAAGGATTCCAACCCACATCACCTGCACCCCTGCTGAGCCTGGTCAACAGAGCCCCTCAGTGGGTCCTCACTCCCCTGGCTGCCTCCCGGTTAGGCACCCTGAGGCCTAGGGAGAACAGGGCCAGGCCAGTGTCCCCAGAGAGGCTGCACTGCCAGCACAGTAATAGCGGATTTGGATTCAGGGAAGCAGACCCGCAGCCAGGGTGGGGAAGAGCTGCAGGCTGGGCGTGGCACCTAGGCGGCACAGCCTCCCTCCCTGGAGGCCCACGCTGCATTTCCAGGACAGCAAGTCCCAGGGATGGATGGTCCCAGGTGCCAAGGGCTAGAGGCATGGTCTGTCTGCATTCCCCACATGGACGTCTTGTAGTCACCAGCGTTTGATGCTGTCAAGTGACCCTGTCCTCTGTGCAGACCGGGAAGCCCTTGGCTACCCTGGAGGGTTATGGGACCCAGGCCAGGGTGCAGAAGCATAGGGACTTGAACCCAAGTTTTAAGTGACACCACTTTGTGTCCCCCTCCCTCTGTCTCTGTTTAGCGCCACCTCGATGCTGCCTGTGCTGGGCCATGCAAAGAGGGTTAGGCGATAGAGATGGGAGCTGGGGAGTGCGGCTCCACTCTGGGAGGTGGCAGGCTTGCTGGATCCAGGGGAGATAGTTGAGCAGCCCCAGCTCTGCTTTCCCGGAGCTGCCGGGAACCCTGGGAATGGTGTGGAGATTCCTGGGAGCCCTGCCCCCACCTGCAACCGCAGTGCAGCAGGCGCCAAGTTCTCCAGCACATTGGGACAGTGTGACCCTGGCCTCTGGTGAGTGGCAGGCAGGGGCCTTTGGACCTACCGGCAGTGAGGGAGTTAACACAGCAGCTGGCTCCTCTAGGCAAGGAAAACTCCCCTCAGACGCTTTGCTGCCTGGCCTCCTGCCAGGAACAAGCAGGAGCTGAAAACTAGAAGTTGAGGCGTGAGTTTGGCCACTCCATAGTGTGCATTTAGGGAGGGCAGCAGCACGTCACAGCCGCCGGCCGCAAGCCATCCGTCCATTCACTCATCTGTCCATCTGGCAGCCCGCTGTTCAGACCTATCTGTCTGTCCACCCATCTGTAAGCCTGTCTCTGTCCCATTGTCTATCTGACCATCTTTCTCTTACTGTCCTCTTTGTCCAGCTATCTGGCCTGTCTGTTGATCCATCTTCGTGTCTGTCTGTGGCCCCACCTGTTTGTCCATCTGTCCAATTATCTGTGAGTCTATCTGTGCATCTTCTTGTCCATCCATCTGCCCACCCATCTGTCCCTGTGTCTGCTCACCGGCCTCCCCTCTCCTCCTGGGCCACAGAGCCATGGCCCGGGGCTGTGGGGCCACGGTCGGCCTAGTCCTGCTGGGGCTGGGGCTGGCGCTGGCTGTCATTGTGCTGGCTGTGGTCCTCTCTCGCCACCAAGCCCCCTGCGGCCCCCAGGCCTTTGCCCACGCTGCTGTTGCTGCCGACTCCAAGGTTTGCTCGGATATTGGACGGTGAGTGAGAGGTGGCGGGGAGCTGGGTGGCCCTTGGCAGCCAGCCCCTCCTGGAGAAGGTGCGTGTGTGTGAGTGAGTGTGTGTATGGGTGTGTGGGGAGTGTGTGTGAGTGTGTGATTGCGTGCATGTGTGTTTGAGAGTGTGAGTGTGTGTGTGAGTGTGTGGGGGTGTGGGAATGTGTGTGGGAGCGTGTGTGTGAGTGTGCATGTGTGTGGGTGTGTGTGATTGTGGGTATGTGTGTGTATATGTGGGTGTGTGAGTGTGTGTGTGCGTGTGTGTACAAGTGCACTGGCCCAGGAAGCAGGAGCCGTGTGTGTGTGGGCTTCAGCACCTGCAGGGCTTGGGCGCAAGGAGGCAGCCTCAGGGCCCTTGCACAGAACAGGTGGCAGGATGTGCCCATGGGGCAGATGGTGATTTAGGGACAGTCGTGTGTGAGTCCACACCTGGCTCCAGGATTCAGGAGGCCCATTTGCATATCCTAGGTGGGAACCGGTCTGGCCCCGCCTGACCCTGCTGGCCAGTGTAGGCCCCTTCAGTGAGGCCAATTCTCCAAGGCTGGGGTCTTCTCTCAGGGTCATAGGTGAAGGGCTTCAGAGGCTCCCTGTGTGGGTACTGGCCTGCTGGGGTACACACAATGCTGCCACAGCCAGTCTGCCCCAATTCCCAGCCCATGACCACATCTCGGGTCTCTCTGTCCTGGGGAGCCTGGTGCCCCACCCCTCACATCCTCTCTCCCTGAGTCAGGGCCTGGGTCTCGTGAGCTGAGTGACTGATACTTGGTGTCCGGGATGAGGGTGTGGTGGAGAGGGGCCACGGCGGGTGTTTCCTGACCCTCTTCCAGGAAACCCAGCCCAAGGGAGGCCTCCGCTGCTGCCACTGCAGAGAGGACACATACAGGACGCCCCTTCCTGCCCCCTGCCTGCCATTGGGCCCACAAAAGCTGGGGCAAGCCTCCCCTCCCTGCAGCCACCTGGTCTGCTTCCCAGAAGCTCTGTCTTGCAGGCTGTTGGGAGGATCCCAGTGCTTTGTAAACTAAAGCAAGGGAGGCGTGGCCGTTCTCTCTCTTTGTTCATTCATTCACCTTTTGAGTCATTCCTTCCTCCCTCCATTCCCCCATCTGTCCATCCTTCCCTGCCCTGATTGCTCATGCCACCCCCCAGCCCCTCCTGACCTGATCATTTGGTTTCTCTTCAGGGATTTTTGTCTCCTCCCACAGGGCTGAGAATGACAGCTCAGGGACAAGTGGGGGCTGGGGACTGCTTGGTCTCCCCAGTGGCTCCCAGGGGATTTGAGGGATTGATGCCAGCTGCCACCCCAGGCTGTGCCCCTCCTCTGCTCAGGAGGACATACAGAGATGTGGCACCCACTTAAACTCAAAGTTGCAAAGATGCAAATGAGACTGGGGTCTCAGGCACCAGAGACCACCGTGGGCACGTGGCCTTTGGGAGTGGGGACCTGCTGCCACAGATCTCTGAGTGGAGTCTGGACCTACTGGGTCTCTCTGAGTGACTGTCTGGGGGTCTCTGTGTGCCCTCCTGTGTACGTGAGGGTCAGTGGTTGGCGAGGGGGTCT